TTAAGTCGTATAAAAAAACTATATTTTAGATTTGAAGTATTCGATATTATATAAATCTCCATTATAAATCTACATTTTTAATACGCATATCAGATGTAAACTGCTCAACCGATTTTCTTAATTGTTTTAAATTGCCAGGCGAAAATCCTATAATTTCTCAACAGATGTTAAAAGCCCGTTAAAAGCGCAAAATTACAAAAGTAAGCTTTGCGGGAGTTGTTGTTTGAAGAATTCAAATTACGCAAAAATAAAAAGGTGAGTTTTGTGAGAGGTGTTCGTTTGAATAATGCCTGCTATTAGGCGATCACGCATTGCACAAAATACAGAATACGCAAAAACTACAAACCTACTGCAGAAACTATACCTGAGAAAGGACAAAGATTTAATAGAAGATAAGTTGTAGACTTGAATCGCGCTGGATTCGATTATGATTCTACGCCTACGAAGATCTGCGTTGTGATTGGTTCATTATCTGCAGTGTGTCAACATTGCAATGCAGTAGAGTTTCTCTTGGAATCTAATGGATTATGTACGCTGGCAAGGCAAAATTGCAAGTTTACCCTCGTGCTAGCTCTTTATTACCACCAACTAATAAAGATCTCAGGTTCCTTCAGACCTATTTTGTTAGTGATTCAACAGTACAATTATTACTGAAACTAGGCGTCTAATTATCGAGCAATTCCAAAATCTTCTTCATGATTATAATGAATTAGATACAATGTATTCCGACGACCACAAAATCATTATCAGAGCAGAGCAGCCATGCAAGACACTTCAATGCTCCCTCAATCAATGAAGTGGCAGTGGTAATTGTTGGCGAAAATGTGGATTCACGGGGTATTATTCTCAAACGTCGGGATAATGGACAATTGCAACGCGTGTAAGAGAGCCCTCGATCATATGATCGATACCCATTAATATTCTGTCGTGGAGAAGATGGCTGTCACAATAATAAACAAGAAAGGAAGCTAACATCGGCACGCCGAAGTTTGTATACCCTTGCAGATTGGTTTTGATGTTTATATTATACATTTAAATGCAAAAAACACTCACAAAACAGAGTTTCATTACATTTTACCTACACTTATTATGTTTACAGTTTGACAGTTACAGTTTTACATTCACAGCCTTACATTTTCTCTACATCTACCGATCGCTCCTATGGCAGCTATATGATATAGTTGTCCGATTTTCATAAAATTTTTACCAAAATTCTAGAATAATAAAAAAAGCTTAAATCTCAGAGTTAATAAAAAATGCGTTGAAAAACAACGAAGCTATAATTTTATTTCTATTAATTTCCGGATCGTTCTTATGGCAGCTATATCATGTAGTCGTCCGATTTTCATAAAATTTTTATTAAAATTCTGAAATAATATAAAATGGCCATATCTAAAAAATTATGCAAAAATGTTTAAAAACAGCAAAGTTATAATTATTTTCCTAAAAATGTATCGAACATTTGTATGGCAGCTATATGATATAGTCGTCCGATCCGGCCCGTTCCGACATATATAGCAGTGAGAGCATTTAGAAGACTATATGCAAAGTTTCATTCAGATAGCTTTAAAACTGAGGGACTAGTTTGCGTAGAAACGGACAACGGGCAGACGTACAGACGGACAGACGGACATGGCTATATCGACTCGGCTGTTGATGCTGATCAAGAATATATATACTTTATAGGGTCCTTCACTGCGTTGCGAACTTCTGACTGAAATTATAATACCCTGCAAGGGTATAAAAATATAATCAGTCAGTCCGACGACAGGTTTGTTTACAAGTCATAATTTATTTTTCGCAAGCTAATAAGTTTTAACTAAATTTTCAGGAAAAGTAACGTAGCGTTGCAAAAATAGGAAAAGTCATGTTCGCAAACATTTTAAAATATACAAATCCGACAGAGAATTTTCCAAGGACTGAGAATTCGTAATCAAAGTTCAACTTGTTCAACTTGCATAGGTAAATTGCTACCTGTCAGGTGTAAATTTTGTTGTTGCTCAGGTGCCTTCGGTCTCAATACTATTGCCTTTACGCCCAATAAATAAATAAACAAATTGGTATACATTTAAAATAAACAGAGACTAAATATTACTTAACAAATAAGCACTGGCACCTCACCATAAAGAACACTGGTATAATTAAATAAATAGATCGACTAAATATGTGTATATAAGTAAATAAATAATTTAAATAAATAATACATATATAAACAAATCAATGAATAAGTAAGGGCCGTTCGTTTTGGGAGCAGTAGTTCCGCTGGCTCGGTGGCAGGTTTGGAGGCTGAAACCTCGGGATTGGGTGCCTGGGTTTGAAATTCCAATTTGGAGTCGGACAAACAACTAGAATTCTTCCAGGTTGGGGACGTTTTTTCTTTAGCAAAGGTCGCGCCGCGAGGATGCAGCTAGGGTCCTGTGAAACGTTGTTGTCTTTTTTTATTCTAATTCTGTTCCACTTGGAGCAGACAGACGTTTTCTTTTTTTGTTTCCCAATTTCAAAACCCTTCCGGCTGTACAGACCGGCTCCTGGCAGTCCAGAAATGCTTAGTCCATAAGAATTTCCCAAATGTTCGCTTTTTTTAGTAATGATTAGTCAAAATAACCAAAAAAAAAAAAATAATAATAAATAAATTAAAAAGAAAAAAATGTTTTTTTCACTTTACTTCCCTATAAAAAGGCGAATTGGTAGGAGTAGCAGGGCATATATGTATACTGTCTCTAAATTCAATTTTAAGCAAAGGCGTTATACATATATATTCGTTTCGATTCGACTTTTTGATGTACTGTTTGCTAGGCTTCTTTATTCTTCCATATGGCCAGAAGACGCAATTGTTCACGGATTCTTTAACAAAAGTAATCCTCGGGCTCGCGGGCCTCTGTCTCCCTCAGCTAGAACTCCAAAAAACTAATAGATTCGTTTCTCCTACATTATCAGAATGTTCGCAGTTCACTAGGCAAACTCAGCAAGCTTCACGTCAATATTGTCTCCTTTAAGGCCAATGTCATTCTCTTAACTGAATCGTGGCTCAAATCATCTGTCTCTGATAGCGAATCGGCGGTATTTCTTGTCGCAGTTTCAAACTTGCTTCCTATCACTGACATGGATTGCAATTCGGAGTTTGTTGCGGTTCGTATTCATGTTCAATATTATTTTGTTTATCTTCTAGCTCGTGTATCCCACCCCGGTCTGACGCTAACATATATTTACAGCATTTATCGTTAATTAAGAATATTCAATTGACCCTTGGTGTTAATGACCACCTCATTGTTATGGACGATTTCAACCTGCCTTCCATATCTTGGATGCCCTCACCTGACTCGAATATTCTTGTTCCCACTGCTCCTCGTGATTTTATACGCGGTCTTATCGACCTTTTATTGGGACAATTAAATCATATAAGAAGCTTGCCAATGCCTACGTCCCTAGAATTGGCCCTCTCTCCAGCCCTCAAGAAGCTTATCACCCCACACTGGAGATAATTCTAGAAGCTTCGACTCCATGACCTCCTTGTCCTGTAGCTAAACCACCAACTTTTCGCTACTTCCGCAAGGCTAACTTCACCTCCCTGGTTTTTTCATCTTATTTGATAAATGTAAACTCAAGATTCTTTAAAAGAGTAAGAATAAAGGGGCTACAAGTCGACTGTGATACATATTTAATAGCTCTCTCTGATTTTCTGACTAACAATTCAGAATGTTACAAAACTCACATAAATCGGTGTAAAAATGAGTTTCAGGATAATCCTAAGCATTTTTAATTCTGAACAAAAATCTCATATTTTTCCATCTTGTATTCATCTCATCTCATCTCGGCATCTAACAAGCCTGATATCTCGAACTTATTTGCAAAAATTTTCCATTTAACGTATTCATCTTATCGTTTTGGTACAAACTCATCGTATCCATATTTCCATATTTTCTTTCCACTTCAATTGTACTTTAAATACCCACAATCACTAAAGACGATGTTCTTCAGAATCTTAAAACTCCCTTCTCTTCTGATCTATATCTTGTACCTATCTGCATTTTCAGAAACTGTGCTAGTGCGTTATGTAGACCATTGTCAAAACTATTTAAGATTTCTCTTCAGCGTTAATTTCACTTTTAATTTTTGGAAGGAATCCTTAATTATTTCATAATTATTAAAGGGTAGTAAATCTAAAATCGAAACCAGCTGCTGTTCAAAAATCGTACACTTTTAGGCTTCCCTGTTTTGTTGACCAATTGGATCGCCACTTACTTATCGAACCGAACTCAAAGAGTAGCTTTCAAGGTTCATTTTCTAACCGTGTCCGGGTTCGGGTGTTCCACACCCGAGGGAGTCACCTTAGGCCACTTCTGTTTGTTATTTTTATTAACGACTTACCGGATGTGGTTCTTCATTACCACGTGATGATGTTCGCAGATGATGTAAAACTATAATTGCCACTGACGAATTCAGACTCTTTATGCTTTTGCAAGCTGGCATAAATAACATGCAGTCCTTGTGCCTTAACAATTTGCTGTTTCTCAACAGCTCTAAATTTAAATTGATATATTTCTATGGAAAATTTTTTTCTTTAAAAACAATTCTAAAGGGAATAGAGATCTTGAACGCATCACTTCTGTCACAGATCTTGGAGTTCTGTTTACCCACAACTTAAACTTCACCCACCACATTGGTTTAATTGTTGAAAAGGCTGGTTGGTTGGTTGGTTTTTGCCATTGTCAATCGTTGGTCTAAGGAGTTTGAGGATCCTTACGTCACAAAAGTCCTTGAGTCTCTCTTGTTCGTCCTCTTCTCTAATATTGTTCGTGTGAATGGTCACCTCAATATGCTATGAAGACCTTATTGAATGCAATTACCTTCTCGTCACTTTCGACCGAACGCTCTTGCTTTGTGTAAATCAAAAGCGTCGCACACGACGCCGATTTTCAACACCTCTTGAGGTGCGAGTACCAGAGACAAGCCAAAATAAAGAATATAATAAATAATAATAACAATAATAACATAAGATATAAGTTTAAATACATAAATGTATGTATTTGACTTAATTTTTAGACACGGAACAGAGTTGAGAGCGTTAGGCCATCACTTTAAAATTTGTATTCCAAATTGTTAATCACGTGCAAATCTTGATTTAAAATTTTCATTGGAAAACAGCTTATTAATTGTCCGGGGTGGATCTTCCAAGTTTCGGGTTCATCATGTGCTTGAAGGTCATGTAATTGAAGAACATTTCCGAATATATCCACGGTAAATGCTGGGAAGAGGTCATTAATCGGCCGGTGTTGAACCTCCAAGTTTGCGGAACCATGAGTAAATAACAAGCCAGAAATAGATTCCCAAGACTGTTGAGAGAATAATAGAAAACTTATTTCAATATAATATTCTGGTAACGTATGTATGTAACTATATCTTATGGTTAATTATAACGACTTTAGTCTGTGCGATTTTGAAATCTCAAAATCCTACTCTACATCGAATTAACTTTAAGCGCTAACTATATTCAAGTGTAGCTGATAGATTGCCATATTACGTAGTCGCCCCATGTGTCGCTCTCCAATCGTTCTACTAACTGAAATAGAAAGAACTATCCTACACGGTTACTTACCAATTATAGCTACGATAATGACGATTAAGAACAAAGCATCACCGATTCGGACATACAAACAAATCAATATTAGAAATACGGTGTCGATGATTGCCCGGCAGATACCGGTTATAAGGTAGGGAATAACCAACCTTTTATCCGGCTAAATGAATTTGAAATCGGAATTAGAACACTAGAGTTAGACATAAAAGCTCGTGACGACAAACTTCTTACCTTAAACACGGAAACTATGACGCAAACGCAGGCAACGATATGCGCCACGTGGATAACAAGAGCTAAAAACCAAACAATGCGGGCACCACCAGTATAACCTAAGAGGTTTTGACAAGGGGTTAACAAGGTCTTACCGCCTCATACTTAATAGTAACGAGCAATGCTTACCTGATCCGTTTCCACCGCCAAGGCACAACGTTAGTATAATGTCCACGATACCGACCGTTAGAACTCCCCACTTCAGCTCGCAGCAGCAGCAATCTCTAAAAACGGGTAGCCCCATTTTGTTTCTGTGAAACTATCTTTTTCCGTTCGAAGTGATGTGATATTGAAGTATGTGAAGTTACTGAAATATGAAGGCTAAAATGGTTTGACATTTCGGAAATTTCAAACTTAGAAAAGATTGGAAAAAATTTGTGTTTTTAGGAGTCGTCGGTGTCGTTTGCAGCGTACCACGACACGGCAGTAAGATAAAAATATGTGGCGGGAACTGAAAAAAAATATTAATAATTAAAACTGAGGTAGAAAATAAATTGATTATATGATTTTTATACTTTTGAAGGGTATTTTAATTTTAGTTAGAAGTTCGCAACGCAGTGAATGAGTCATTTTCGAGCATTAACAACCGAGTCGATGTAACCTGTCTGTCTGCCTGATTATAGTAAAGTAGTTTATAATAATTATCATATCCATTTTTGAATAAAACTTTTGCAAATACTCTTTTGACTACTTTTAGTATTATTTTCTATATACTTTGAGAAATTTGCATTTTGTATTATTTTAAATATGTATATGTATTTTATATATGTATATTAGCTACCTATTTCTTTGGTACTAAAATATATTCATACTTAATTTGTATATCCTTGCAGTTTTTAATCATTGAGAATCGATTTATTTCAGTCAATCGAGAAAAACAAACAAAAGAGATAAATACTAAGCCTTCCCTCTTTTTCCTAGTCTCTTAAAATTGTGAATAAATTGAATTGGTAGCGAACAATCCTTACGGATTTCAGCGAAACGCTGCTTTTATTTTAATCAGTGTAGTTTGTTTTATATTTATATCATATCTTATGATAGCTAACTGATGTAACTCGGTTTTATGCAAATTAAAATATTCGATTATATTCACATTTAAAATATTTTAAAATCCTGCAGTTTTAGATGCACAGTTTTTTATTTACAGTCTTACATTTTCCTACACTTTCACCGATTGTTTCTGTATTTTTATAAAATTAAAATAGAAAATTTTTAGTCATGAAAAATTACTGTTTCTCAGAAAAGATTGCAAACGGCTAATATGGCAGTTCTAGATTATAGGAGTCAGATCTAAAAAGAAAACTATTTTTAAGTTTAATTTTTATAGGCATCTCCAAAACTGATACTACATTGGTCAGAATCGGTCGGTGGCCATGGATAAACCGGACTGTTTATGCTGATCAAGAATATATACACTTTATAATGTCGTAAATAAAAATAATCTCGGGGTCCGGTGAAATATGAAATGAGAATCTAATAAGGCTAAATATCGCCTAAGCCAGCACCTATAATTACGAACAAATCGAAGAAAGGATGTGCCATAGGCCTTAGTTCCGATTTGACGATCATTTTCGGAAATCAATACTTACACAGACTAAAGCCGAGCAACCAATAACAAGTTTTACTATCGTGGCACTTGGCAACCATCCAGAGCAGAATTAAAAATAACACCACAAAACGCACAAGGGCGGTGGCTAGGTAGGGAGCCACCATCCAATTTTCCTTCTATAAAAGTCTCGAACGTTATTAGGACTGATGTCCTAGGAGGCCAATAGTTATAGTTCTCTTACCGTGAAACTAGAAACTATAATCAATATACAGGCGCCGATATGGAGAACAAGGACGAGCACTAGGAAGATCCACATTGCATAGCCAAATCTGCTGTGGTAAAATTCCTCAGGGGTCGTCCACCAGGAGGAACCAGACTCTGTATATGGCGTCGCCAAATAAAAGTCCAATTCAGCCTTCCGTCTGATCCCTTGGGAAGGATCGTCACTGCAGACTTATTGAATAGGGCTAGGAAATGTGGTGTACTTACATGGCAAGTAGCAGCCGCAAAGAAGGCTTAAAATCATGTCAAAGATGCCAATTATGTATACGGCATAGTTGAGCTCAATGCAACCAAGAAATTGTTGAACGAACGCCATTTCACCTTAATACGTTTTAATTTGTCTTGTGATTCGGGCGAAAGATGCAACTTTTAAACATTTGTAATTCATTTGACCTAATGACCGCTTCTCCAAGGCTTCCTAGATTTATTTTACCTTAAAACCAGCAAAGCCAGTCTTAACTCATATCCCTAAAAACCTAGTTTGATCGAATTTTCTGTCACTTTCAAAGGTTTGCCTTTGGACAACAAGTAGACTTTTCTTAATCGGTCCAACACGAAAGGCACACAGAGAAACACAATAAGTCTGGCAATGGCGGAATCTTTGGATAAAGGTCTTTACTACAGACGAGACAGAAGGAGGTTTGCCTTAATCTCATACATAATGACAGCAGTTTTTTTGCTGGTTGCCTTTGGAGAATGGTGCATTTTTTACTTTTTGTAAGATCCATCGAAAACACTTCCCTAAAATGTTCTCTAAACTCTGCCTAATTCTCAGAAAATTGGCTACGAACTTTTTTACCCACAAAGCCTGGATAGCGTCAATTATTTTTGTGATCGGGCTAATACTGCTCGTTTTGTTCATCTTCTTTGAAGCCCTGCGGTTCAATTCGAAAATCAACTGGTTTTTTGCAGTGCTGATTGTAAGAGAGCCTGTCAATACGTAAGCCAAATATGTATATAAGGTGTCCTTCTTTATTTCCAGTATGAGTGCGTTGTTCTAGGCGTGATCCCGCTGGTGATCCGTCAGACGTTATTACCCTTTCTGATCAGCTTTGCTGTTTGGGCCTTTGCTCTATTAGTCTTTGTTTTGTGCGGCACATTAATACCGGTGAGCAGGGGCTTGGATTTGAAAAGGACATCCTGTGCTGCAGTGTAACTCGCAGCTCAACAAGATGGATAAGCTAAACTCGGGGTTAACTCGGAGTTCACTTATATTTTTAAACCTTATTATGTACTTTTATATTTAATAATCATTTTCCTCTTCTCCCCACCAAAGTTTGACCTGACCCTGAACGTCGTGCTGTTATTTGTACTCGGTATGATGGCCATTATCGGCGCTGTGTTCTTCCTGATGCTTTATATCGTTATTAATATCCCGTATTCCCTCATTGTCTTTTGTTCCTTCATTCTCATGAGTATTTTTATGGTAAGCACTAAACTAAAAAAAACCGAACTTGATATACTATCATTCTTGTTAGTCTTTCCGAATGTATTATTTATTTAGCTGTTTATTAATATTTGAAGTTTTTTTTTAAAATTTTCTTTTTTGTATTATTATCACCCACACATTAATTTTAAATTAATAAAGTAGCATTTTCCAAATTTATATGTTTTCAGTTTGTCATGTACCACGCGCAGATTATAAACGGAGGACGATATGCCGAGATGCGAACGAATGACTATTTTTTAGCAGCTCTTATGCTGTTCCTAGATTTTCTACTCATGTATCTGTTCTCATTCCAAATGGCGCCCAAATGGTCGGACCAATGTGATCAATGGAAATGGATAAATGGAACATGTAAGTACATATTATTATTAAAAATGTATAAAGTATACATTATATTTTAAGTACATTATTATATTTAAACCCATGTTTACGTACGCATTTAAAATTAAAGAAACCGTATATAAAAATAGTTTATTTCTTTTAAATAAGTATTTAATGATAGTTTAGTTACTTTCGCTACGAGCTGTTTAAAAACTGATTTCAGCGAAAAGCAAGTGATTATTTAAATGGATCAACGTTTAAAATGTCATGCGTTAATGTCAGTTTTTTGTGCTTTTAATTTTTTATTAGAAATATAATGTAGTTTATTTTATAATGACTTTTAATCAGTCGGGGTGTTCCCTTGACTACTGAATTACTGAACATGTTGGCGTTTTCAGTCATTTGGCGACTCTTGAGTTCCCTGAATTTATTTTAATTAATAATTTAGACTGCATGACTTTATTTTTATTATTTGTATATTCAAGGTTCAGTAGTTGAAAGTAATTAAAAATGATATAGGATAAATCCAAATATATATTCTTAGCCAGATAAGAGTTTTTTATATAAAATTTTGGGCTTAGTTCCTTGGGTCGTTCCCAGATTATTTGGGAATTTAAAAGAAATTTAACAAAAGATCCTTAAATCAACAAGGGAAATTCGCTTACGTTAAAGGGAAATCCGCAAATGTTTTCAAAATCTTTCCCGAAACATAACAGGAAGAGTCCTGATTAACATTTTAAATTTTACCGCCTTTACAGATCCCAATTGCACCACTTCTGACTATTCTGGCTATTAATCAAAATAAATACGAGAAATCGCACCAGCACCACTGCCGCCTAAGACTCCGACATTGCCCAACACTGGCACTCAATTGGCGCCAACACACACAGCTGAGGGCTTTGTTTTCGTTTTGCCTTCTCGACCGGTGAACAAACCTTAATTAGCACTAAGCTGACCTAGACAAATATACTAGAGAGCCGCCACTCAGCGATTTAGGGAGCCAGCACTGCACTGACCGTCAGTAGAACGCCAGCGATCGACATGGACCCCACTATTTCGGTGTCCAAGGTGAGACGCCCTGCCTGGGTTCCGGATATCGCGGTTCACTTACTCTTTGCCGACTTCTAGGGCGTGTTTGTCTTCAAAAATGGCGCTACGCGAGCCGGGAAAAAAGCCAAGACCCACAAACGCAAGCGTCCCGACTCCAGCGCCGTGAACAGCCTGCTGGGCGAGGAGGTTGTCCGGCAGCCATTCTACGAGGAATACAGCCAGGCCTGGAGCCAGGTGAGCGGCCACATAGACGACCTACAGCAGCGCACCTATGCCCGCACCCTAGAGCAGCTGGTGGCCTTCGTTGTGGCCCAGGGCGAGCGCACAGGGGCAGACAAGGACGAAGTGCTGCCCACAGCCGCCCTACTGACGGGCATCAATCAGCCGGATCACCTCAGTCAGTTCGAGGCGTTCACCCAGCGCCTGCATGCGAAGCGTGCTGCCCGTGTCTGCGTGCTGCAGTCTCGGGATTGTGCCACCGTTAAGACGGCCGTGGAGACCATGGTCTTTGGGCTTGTCGAGGACAACCTAGCCGTGGGGGCGGATGTGGAGGAATCAGAGGAGGAGGACGTGGTGGAGAGGGACAGCAAGCGACTGCGCCGTTCGCAGTGCACGCTAAAGCAGCTTAGATCGTGGTACGCTAACAACAAGGGTGCGGAGGGAAGTTCTTGCCAGCTGGTCGTCATCCTGCCCGACTTTGAGTGCTTCAGCGCCAGCGTATTGCAGGACTTCATCCTCATTCTAAGCGCCCATTGTGGCTCGCTGCCGTTCGTCCTGGTCCTGGGCGTGGCCACGGCCATGTCCGCGGTGCACGGAACGCTGCCCTACCACGTCAGCAGCAAGATCCGGTTGCAGGTTTTCCAGACGCAGGCCGCTCCAGTTGGGCTAAACGAAGTAAGTGATTACATCCGTCCGTGAATTCAGAGTCTGTAGGAAATGATGGTTTATTGTATGAACTTCTAGATGCTGGACAGAGTTCTGCTCTCCCCGAAGTACGCGTTCCATCTCTCGGGCAAGGCCTTCAAGTTCCTGACCCACATTTTTCTGTACTACGATTTCTCCATACACGGCTTCATCCAGGGCTTCAAGTTCTGCCTGATGGAACATTTCTTTGCGGGCAATTCCTTCGCGCTTTGCACGGACTACAGCAGGGCTTTGGGACGCATCAAGCACCTGAGCCACGACGACATGGAGTCCATTCGACGGCTGCCCTCCTTCCGGCCGTACGTCGAGCAAATCAATGACTGCAAACGCATCATAGCCGTGCTCACCGACGACGACTACCTGAAGAAGAAGCTGCCGCAGCTGCTGCGCGACTGCATGCTTCACTTTCTGCTCTTCCGCAGCGCGCTAGAGTTCCTCACAGAGCTGGTGGGAGATCTGCCCCGCCATCCACTGGGCAAGCTGCATCGGGAGCTGTACGTCAACTGCATGAACAAGCCGATCGCAGCGACTCCGGAGTACAAGGAGTGCTGGCAGATGCTAGGATTTCTATCTAAGGACGAGTTCGTGGGCAAAGTGACTCGGTGCCTGGACAGAACCGAGCAATTCCTGGCTGAGGAAATCTCTCCCCTGGAACTCGGCGGGGCCTGCGTCGATGGGATGCGGCCCCAACTCCAAGCCATCCGCCAGGCACTCGACGATGTGGCCAAGGGCACCACCGTGTCACCTGAAACGGCTGGAACGATGCGCCCCAACGCCCCCAATCTGGCCCAGGTGACGTCGCGTCACGAGCTCCAGGCGCAGCTCCTGCAACGCAGCAAAGAGGACAAGGATCGAGCACAGCCCCCCGCCACGGCCCTGCAAAAGACGCTGCAGCTAATAGAGACCCACTTGGTCCGGGGTCATCTGCGGGCGCTGCAGGACGCGCCACCCATCCATGAACTGTTCGTGTTCAGCGACATTGCCACCGTGCGCCGCAACATAATCGGCGCTCCCCGGGCAGCGCTGCACACGGCCCTCAACAACCCGCACTTCTACATGCAGTGCAGGTGCTGCGAGCTGCAGGACCAGTCGCAGCTGGTGAGCACCCTGCCCGACCTCTCGGTGGTGTACAAGCTGCATCTGGAGTGCGGGCGGATGATAAACCTCTTCGACTGGCTCCAGGCCTTTCGGTCTGTGGTGATTGGCGGCGAGCAGGACGGCGGCGTCGAGAATGCGGCCCAGGAGCAAATCGATCCCCAGATCCAGTGAGTAACCTTATGCTCTGCCTCCCGAGTGCAGCGCCTAAAGTCCCGTATCCCCGTTTTCATTTCAGAGCACGTTTCACGCGCGCCGTAGCCGAGTTGCAGTTTCTGGGCTACATCAAGATGTCCAAGCGCAAGACAGACCACGCCACTCGATTGACCTGGTAGCGAAGTTTAGTTTGTCCTTTTTCATTTCTATTTATTTTTTAGCTCGAAAATTGCAAGTGTCGCAGTAATAAATACATAAAAAATTGTAGATTGATATTTGTTCTTAACAAAAAAAACCAAAAGAAGCGCGTGTTTATATCAAGTAAGCAAGCACGCCAAAATATCAACAAAATGCTTGATCTGGAGTGAATCCCTTCAGAGCCTCCGACTGGCCTCTTCACATCAGTTTCAGCGTCTCAATGGCGGCAGCAATTCGCTCGATCTCTGCCCGCGACTCCGAAAGCTTCGTTTCGTTGGCGGCCTGCACCTCAACGGGCACCTTGGCGGCGTAGTCGGCCGCTTGAATGGCCTGGCTCAGCTTGCCCACAGTCTGCACCAGCTGGTCGCTCTTCTTCTGCAGCTTCACTATCTCCTTGTCCGCCTCGATCAGGCCCTTCAGCAGCAGGTGCACCTCACACTGACCGGTCACGGTCAGAATGGCACAGCCCGCCGGCGGGGCGCCGTCGAAGGCTATCTTGGAGCAGTAGGAGATCGTGGCCAGATCATCGGCGTAGCGCTTGAGTATTTCGTTGGGCGCGTCATCCGTGCACACGATGTACGCCTCGGTCTTGGTCTTGTTCGGCAGATTGTAGTCTGAGCGAGCCGAGCGGATGATGCGGGCCGCCTTCTGGACAAAGTCCACGTCGGACTCTATCTTGGCACTGCGCCAAGAGACGTTGCCTGGAAAGGGAAATAGCATAAAAATTATGTTTACTCCGATATAGGCCATGCAATTACTCACTGGGATAGCTGGCCACACAGATGCTGGGCGCTGGGTTGGCCCGCGGCAGCCGCTGGTAGAGCTCCTCGGTGATGAAGGGCATAAACGGCGAGAGCAGCCGAAGGCCGTAGTCCAGACACACGTAAAGAGTACGCCGCGCCGCTGCCTGCTGCGCCTCGCTGCCGCTTTGGAAGACGGGCTTAAGGCACTCCAGATACACGTCGCAGAGATCGTAGAGCCAGAAGGCATAGCAGGCGCTGGTGGCCGCGGCAAAGTCGTAGGTCTCAAAGCCCTGGTTACAGGCCTCGATGGCAGCCGCCAGCCGGGAAAGGATCCAGGAATCCATCTGGTTGACCGCATCAGAGGCACTCAACTCTGTGTCGAACTTCTCCGAGCCCGAGAAGTAGAGCAGGGCGAACTTGGTGGCGTTCCAGAGCTTGTTGCAGAAGAAGCGATAGCCCAGCACGCGGTTGATGTCCAGGTTGATGTCGCGAGCCTGTGTAATGTAGGCGCACAGAGCGAAGCGCAGGGCATCGGATCCGCACTCGGGAATGCCCTGGGGATAGTCCTGCTTTTGCCCAGCCTTGGCCTTTTCGATCTCGCGGGGGTCCAGGTTGGAGCCCACCAGCTGGGCATGGAGCCCCTCCAGCGTGATGCCGCAAATCACATCCATCGGGTCAATCACGTTGCCCAGAGACTTGGACATCTTGCGTCCGTGGGCGTCCCTCACCATCGGGTGGAGGTAGACCTCCTTGAAGGGCAGCTTTCCCAGCAGCTTCTGGCCAAAGAATACCATGCGGGCCACCCAGAAGAACAGAATGTCGTGGCCCGTCTCCAGCAACGACGTGGGGTAAAATGTCTCCAGGTCCTTGGTGTTGTCCGGCCAGCCGAACACGGAAAACGGAAAGATGCCTGAGCTGAACCATGTGTCTAGCACATCCTCATCCTGCTTCAGGACAATCTTGCTCGCCTCAACGCCGAATCGTTCGGCAGCCTTGCTAAGCGCCTCCGTCTCGCTACGAGCCACAATCCAATACTGCTCGTCGTCATTCTATGAGGAAAACAGGAAAAGATCTTGATCATAAATACTCATATAATTAGGGGACAGGGACCGTAAATAATGATTATTTGTATTTTTCAAATAAAAATTCAATAGATATCTTCAAAGATATATTTTTTTTAGGTAAATTAAAAAAATATATAAGCTACTCATACATTTTTCAAGTGATGTTAGAAAGCAAAAGTCAAACCATAAACCTCTGTTTTTTTTTAAGTTGGTATCAAAACAAAACATCACCTTTTTTGCGATTTTTCATTGGAATGTTGAAAATGTGCGTTTTCTCGAATTCTCATTTGAATATTTCGAAATATGTTTTAGAATATGCTAGATTCTGTCAATATTGATCAATTGGAATACTTCTTAATATGACTATACAGAAAACAGAGATTTTAGAGAAGTGTTACTTTTTTGGCTGCGGTTGCTGTTTCTGAAGAGTTACCCATTTATCATAAATATACATCTCCCTTCTTAATTTTGGATCGATTGTTACTGATCCAATGAAAACGGCAAGGGCTTACAAACTTCCTTAGTTTCTTTTCTTGTTATTAAATAACTCGTACGGATTACGGTCCCTGGTCAGTACTAAGACTCGAAAATAGCAGGTGAACGTATTTGGCTGTCCAAAAGAAATATTCGTGAAATTTATCTTGAAAAAGATTCAACGATTCTTTCAAAACCGAATAGATGTTCAAACGAAATCAAAGGAACAAAGGAACAAAGGAACAAAACGGTCAACTCTTATTTACAAGCCCTCGAGTCAAGTATTTTTACCAGGCTTCCGAGAGCTGGCTGCAGGACCATAAATGTGAGCATTAACATCAGATACATTCAAGATCCCATTGCAAGTTCACTTACCGATCCCGTTTGGACTGAAGGGTCGCTGAAGCTGACGTGGTAGGCCGGAATGCGATGGCCCCACCACAGTTGCCTCGACACGCACCAGTCGCGGATACCGTCCATCCAGTGGTACCAGGTCTTCGTGTGGTGCTCGGGAATAATCTTGAGGGCGCCGGAACGCACGGCCTCGGTGGCGGAGGCTGCCATGTCCGAGCAGCTGACATACCACTGCGGCTTAATCAGCGGCTCGACAACGTCCTTGGAGCGGCTGCAGATGGGCACAACCATGGGGTTGTTCAGGGTCTCGCGATAAAGGTTGAGGGCCTTGAGCTTCTCCAGGATCTGCTTGCGGCACTCGAAGCGCTTCATGCCCGTGAACTCGCCGTAGTCACCGATAATGTAGCCGTCGTCGTTGAAGATGGTGATGAAGGGCAGGTTGCAACGCTTGCCCACCTCGTAGTCGTTGGGGTCGTGAGCCGGGGTAATCTTAACGGCACCCGTGCCGAACGCCATGTCTACGAACTCGTCGCACACGATGGGCAGGCGGCGTGTGGAGAAGGGATGGACTACGAACTTGCCGTGCAGGTGCTTGTAGCGTTCGTCCTGGGGATGAACGGCCACGGCCGTGTCACCCAGCATCGTCTCGATACGGGTGGTGGCCACAACGATTTCCTCGTCGCTGCCCTCCACCTTGTAGGCAAACTTAATCAGCACGCCGAACTCCACCTTCTCCTCGTAACCCGGAATGGAGAGGAACGTGCGTCCGGGAATCTCGACCTTGTCGACCTCTATGTCGGAGATGGCCGAGCGCAGCGTGCAGGACCAGTTGACCAGGCGGGAGCTTCGATAGATGCTTCCTTCCTCGTGGAGGCGTACGAAGGCCTCGGTGACGGCGCGGCACAGTTTGGGGTCCATGGTGAAGGCGACTCGCGACCAGTCATAGGAGGAGCCGAGGCTCTTGAGCTGATCGTAGATACGGCCGCCCTTCTCGCGCCGCCAGTCCCAGATTCGCTCGATGAACTTCTCGCGGCCCAGGTCATGTCGTGACAGCTTCTCGTCGCGCCACAGAAGTTTCTCCACCACCACCTGAGTGGCGATGCCGGCGTGATCACAACCAGGCACCCACAGAGTGGTGCGCCCCTTCATGCGGTGGTACCGCGTGATGGCGTCCTCGATGGCGTTGGTAAGGGCGTGGCCCAAGTGAAGGGATCCTGTCACATTGGGCGGGGGAATTATCATCACGAACTTTCCGTTGGGATTCGGCGAGTCAATCGACGGTCGCTGCACGGGTTAAGACAGGATTACATAGATTGCATTGCACACGACTAGAAAGCACCTACCCCATATTCGGGCTTGAAGAAGCCCTGCTTCTCCCACCAGCTGTACCACTGAGCCTCCACGTACCGCGGGCTGTACGCGTCCGGCAGAGGACCACTCAGATCCTTCATCTCCCCGGGCGCTGTCTGGGCCGTGTACACGGCAGCCTCTTTCACCTCCTTCGTTCGCTTCTGCAAGTAATTGGTAATTGAAGCATGACTTTAGCTTTCACCGGCAACAATGGAACCCAATTACTCCCTTTCACCGTGCCACATAACCTCGATTGGAGAACAGCGGCACAGAGATCCGGGGAAGGTATTGCGGTTACTTGCCTCGGGCTTCTCCTTCTTTTCACCCGCAGCAGGGGCTGCAGCAGCAGCCTTCTTGTCCAGTTTGGCCTGGAGCTTCGCCAGCTTCTCCGCCTTCAGGCGCTCCTTCTCCAGCTGCTTGGCAGTCTTTGGAGGACCTTCGGCTTCGGCTGTGCCGCTGACATCGGTCTGCTGTTCCGGCTGAGGCATTTCACAGGTCTGGCTGATGCAACAGAGTGTCAATTTGCGAAATATCCAGTGTTTATGATTACTCACATGCAGATGACTGGAGTCGCAGAAAAAACAGATGAAAACGTGTGCACTTTGGGTGCAGGGTTGTCATCACACGCAAGTTTTTGAGGAAATGCAAATTGTCGAAATTCGCGGTTCTTGAAATCATTGCAAAAATATTGGTTATTTGATAAATATTTAAAATATATGATAAATAGATATTTTATAAATAGTTATTCACAAGATACAAAATAAAACTCGTATATTGCTAAATATTTCAATTTCAAAAATCAATCTTCGCTTACCAACACTGACTAGCACACTTATCGATAGTGAACATCGATGTTTTTAAGAACCCAAGAAATATATTTTCAAATATCTAAAATTCGTAATAATTAAAGTAGTCAATTCTTTGTGACTGCAACAAAGCTCATGTTTACTTACCAATACTTTACAATATTTAAAAACATTAAAAAAAACTACGTTCCGAAAATGTAAATTATGATTATTCCATTGTTCTATTTATATATGTAAGTTCGATTTAGCAGATTTAAGTAATTGTGTTTATTAATAAAAAGTAAATCTTATAGCGCAATGATGTAAATAAATAAATTGTCTTATACAAAATAATTAGCAACTTAATTAAAGTCACGTAAAAAGATTACGTTTTCGACTAGCTTACGTTATTTACGTTTGTTTTTACAGCAAGTGTGGCCACCTGCCATGGAGTAGAAAATCCGTTTCTTTTCTCAGAAATCGTAGCATTATTTATCTATGGGATCGTAAACGTTTTTGCAGCTAATGAAATATTGGCGAAAAGTAGATGAAATAATTTAATTTATAATTGAGCTGTTGCGAAACGGCAAGTGGACACGGGCAGCCATCAGCTGGACAAGAACAAGTGCATATATTTAGCAGTGACATGTTTGAGAGACGAGCGACCTGTGCCCGTGTAAATGTTTCACTTTCGTGTGTGTCCCGAATTCAGGAGACTAGGGACGTCCAATAAGCAGCCATCTTATAAGAATGGCGAGTGAATTGTTCTGAATACCCATCCTTGTAAACGGATGATGAGGAAAACACTGTTAACAAGCAGGCAGCTACCACAGAGAGCAGCAACAAAAACATCTCGGCCTACGCAGACATGTGCAGTGCGCAGCTAATCTATTGTAAATAAACTGCGTCTACGTCTATTGTGAACGGGCACATTTTCTCGGTCACGTACGCCGATTCCGATTCCTCGATTCCCCGTTGCAATAACACCAGGTGCAGAAGGGGCTTGAATTCGCGAAAGCCCAGGTGCTGCCGAAGCCCCAAATCCTCGAGATCCAGATACCGGGGAGCACAAAAGCGGCGAGCGACCATCAGCGCTACGATCGGGTAAGTTTCGCAGCACCTAGAACCGCTGTCCGTTTCCCCAATTTCGATTCGCCACAGCGAGAGCTTTGTGCAAAATCGATTTTTCAATTTGCCAGCCTAGATTTCGCCCCTCTGTCCCCGCGGCCACGCTCTGTTACTGGAACGTTTGGGATCCGAATTAATTGCATTAGCTGGGGGGAATTCAATGCAGGCGTCCTTAAGACAAAAGCAAATGCTGGGCAACACACAGATAAATAATATTTTTTGTCTTTTTTCATACCTTGTAGAGAGTGTTAGGCTTACCTTGTTGGTGGAACCAACAAATAATTGTTCTCCAAAAGAATAATACAACATTTTATTTCGTTTAATAAACTTTTTTTTTTGCATACTTCTTGGTTATCCTTCGGTGGACTTAATATCTGAGGCACTCATGATTTTCAATACTTCATTGCATACTTTTGGACAAATTTGTCTCAACCCCACTAGTGATCCTGTAGGGTCCTGTATATGTGTATCTGCTTTATCATGGCCTATTATTACATTGTAAACTCTTAAATTACTATTAGGAATGTTTAGTTCCCAACACAGGTTTTTATGCAATATACTTTCGCCCGTCTTAAGAGCTTGAAACGTTCGTAATCGTTTTAGGATGCAGTATACTTCTCAAAGTCAGGCACAATAAGGGGCATTATGTAACGTAGGTAACTATAATATCATAATGTTAAGGATCCGTCCGTATACACTTAATAGCTTGCGTGCTCCTATTGTAATTGTTTTGAAGTATTTTAAAGTCGAGTCGGTTTAGACACAGTGGTCGAGCCATGGCTCTATCTCGGTGCCCGGGCTCTATCGGCAGCGCATCTGTCGGCCTACGTAGAGTAAAACTTTATCCTCCCCTATTTAAAAGAAAAAATGGTAATTTTTAAAGGAGTATATTTTTAAGATACTTTAAGATTAAGAAGCGAAGTTCAAAATACTTGGCCGTTCCGATTCCTTTTTTACTATGATATCTGCCTTGTATGTAGAGAAGCCCTTCAGTGCCATGAAGCCAGGAAAATTATTCTTTGATTTCAGAAAACAACGTATAGAACCCTATTTTACAAAATCGAAAACAATAATGGCCCAATATATTTTTACAAAAAAATTAAGATTGGCAACTGAATATTAAAATAAATACGTTTCTGAATTCAATCATTGTTGTTCCTGTTTTGATCGCAGCTGCGGCTTCGAAGGTCCCTCCTCCTCCATCCGTGGTTAATGACTTCTTCTAACCAAACAAAGGTAAACAAATGTTTGGGAATCCTTTGACGGGCCCACAAAGTTTGCTACGTTCACGAACATCAACTCTATTTGAGGCAGCAACTGACCTGCGACAAAAGGACCCGGGCAGAGAAACATCTGCCGGCTCTGTCTGAGTCTGTTTTTACCTGCCTTCGGGGTTTGAAGGAACTGGGTTCAATGTACGCCTGCGCAAACACGGCTCTTGGCTTAAAAATGATGCAGCTGGTTCAGAGGGAACAGTGATGGGGAAGTCGTGATTTTCAGCGACATTTTGCACTTCCTTCTTGACGACAACGAAGAGCGGAAGTCACAATGTTGTAACTGTCCCGAAAGTCCTATTGCTCCAGCCTTTCCTTATATTCTCGTAGCTGGCATTCAATCGGTTTGATCGACAACATGTCCTGCCCTCGTTCACATACCGGTTTTGTCCCCTTCGTTGCTCGGAACGCAATTCGAAACTTTTTCCGATTGGGGCCCCCGTCTTCCTGTGCTCGTCCTTATACCATTCTGCGTCCCCATTCCCGGTTACTATCCCTACGGGTTGTGGTGTCCGGTTTCAGCTGGGAGAATTCATGTTTGGAAAGCTGCTTTTCTGGGTTTGCTCCAAGTTTTTTATGCTGGCTGCCTGAGTGTGGGAAAGCATCATGGGCGGTCGGCCAGCCGTTGTTAAAGATGAAACTGGGCGACTTCAGAATGGTAACGTCTGCTTACATTTTTAGGATATTCGATTTAAAACATTAGATAGAATACTTCCTTACTTAAGATTATACCTGGGGCATACGAATTGGTATATACAAATAAAATGTAAGGACATTGTTCTGGCCGAAGTTTTCTGAATTATTTATGGGCTTCCTGTACAAAGGATATATTTCGTAAACACAACATCAAATTGTTAAATTAGCTTCTTCAACTATATACTTGGCCTCTGAAAACCTAGGATCTGTCGAAAGAGACGAGCACAGACAATCGATCGCATTGGGACACCTCAGAGCAGCGGCAGATGGCAGATGGCCTTTGGTCCGTGGCACATGCCAAGCGACGATTGAAGGATCGGAGAACGCTGAACAGGGGTCGTGCCAGATGCGCTCAACATTCCCGGTCGAGCAGTAATCAATGCAACAGCAGGCCAGCCAGACCCGGTCCCTCCTGTGCTGTCCTTTCAGCTCCTTTCGTCTCAATGCCTGGCCGGCTGCAATTGCTGGTTTGGCTGCACACGAACTGGCATTGCATTTTACAGCCGACATCTGTCGGTTCCGAAGGGCCTTCTGCTGCAGTGCCAGCCAGCCAGCCAGCTGCGCGAGCTCCGATTAAGAACTCGGCCTGCAGGTGATGCAGGGTTTCCGCTTGGAGCACTCCTACTACTACTCCTGGCTGAGCATGGACAACGAAGTACGCATGGGGGATGGCAGAGAATCAGCTGATTTGCGCAATGTTTATAAACAAAAAGCAAGCGGCAACAGTGGCAGTAACCCTTAGACAGGTCTGGGCATATTTTTGGAATCACCACCAGGGCAAGAGTCTCTGGCAGAGTCAGGGCCAGAGCCAGAGCAACCACCGACCTACATTGGCGCACTGGCTCTGGGCAACATGGCGCATGGGGTGGTTCCGCTCACACGCACGCACCACGTCGCACGGGTCGGCCTTCGTAGGTGCAAGGACGTTGGGAAACCCCCCAAAAATGTAAACAAACGAAAGCAACCCCAGCAGACACCGGCACCGACCGCATCCGCTCTTGCTCTTGGTCATGTGTCGAACCCACCACCACCGCCTTACGGACGGATACGGATTCGGTGGCGTAGCGTGTGCCGGCATGTCATCCATCCACAAAATGTCTTCGTCACTTTTAGGGGGTTTCCCAAAAAAACCGACACAGAAAACCAAAACAGAGCGCGCCGTCGGTGGTAGTTAGAGCAGCGCAAGGAGCATCCGCTCCCGCTCCGCTCCCATTCATAAAGCATAATAAACATACCCCCGGACTAGGTGGTGTTTTTGGCACAGATCCCGGCAGACGCCTGTAAGGTCAGGTGTGGTGGTTCCATGGACGAAGGTCTAACAAGTTGAGAACTCAACAAGTTGTCGCCCCGTCGGGTGGTTGCATTCCAGCTCCCGCCGGTGGGTGGTCTTCTTACCATCCCAGCCGCTATCCCCGACCGAGGGTTAATAAAGATGAGGTTACGCGGTTAAAGACACGTACCAAACAGTTTCTAATTGGGTTCTCTGCCAGCTGTGAGGGCTGAGATTGGTATTTTGGAATTACTTAAATAATAATTTAATTAGTTTTATTTTCTTTATTTGGTACTCAGGCGCATTTTGCATAAGTTTTTATGGATTCCGATTGATGCTTCAGCTGGAGCTTTAAAAATATAAATAGAAACCTTTCTGAACCTTATTTAAAATTGAAATAAAATTGCTGCCATTTATCCATTTAATGGGCTTAGAAGGATAACCAATGAAATAAGCTCTCGGATAGTTTTGCATGAATTTTCAAATTCTTACTTGATATATCTTTAACTTCCACTTGAAAGTGGCAGTGAGTCACGGTGTTGTTCCATATTTCGTTGCGGCATAGATCCGAATTTGGAGCGGTATTCGCGCAATGCCAGGACGTCACAGTGGCCGCCACTTGAGCACGCGCCATGGACATCTTGACAAGTTCTTCCTTTTGTCAGCTTTATGGAGAATCCTTGCGCTTTCCGATTTCTGTTTTTTTGCCCAACATGGCCGCCATTTTGTCGACCAATAAGACTGGGATGCGGAAAGTGTCGAGCAATAGACGAACAATGGCGGAAAGCGAGGAGAGGAGAACGCAAAGGAGAATTAATTTGATTGCGACGGCAGCTGCTGGGCGTGCTGCAGCTGAGAGAGCGAGGCAGCGAGCAGAGAGATTCGGAGAGCATGGGAGCCGAGTAGATAGAGAGCAGCGAGTGTGCGCCGTAAGCCTGCAACGGGAAAGTCGTCATGCGCTTGGCGTTTCCTTCTATCAACGCTTTTTACTCCGTTAACACACACAATAACAATAACCATAACTTGAAAGGGGACTCGCAGGAGCCCACTAAACTCACACACACGCACACATAGGCAAAACATAAAATGTAACGAACTCAAAGCATAAAAACAAAACAAAGGCCAGTGGCAAAGGAAGAGAAACGAGCCAAAGCCAAACAGTTGTGCAATTGAGATAAAGGACAACAAAAGGGAAACTTCAAAAAGGGGACGCGTGCTTTGCTTTTCGGTCGATGCCTGTCGATGTCGCACAGTGGGTCCGGTCAGGAAGCGGATGAAATAAATTAATTGTCCCGAGCTCAGCCGACGCTTACACTTGAATATATTTCGAGTAGGTTTTATTGCACGTGGGGGCTCTTAATGATTTAAATAAAATCTGAAAAAAGGCTTATTCCGCTACAGAATATTTTAAAATATTTTTATGATTTTTATAAAATAAAAATGTAATCTAAAAATTACAATTTAAAAATGATTTTATATCAAGTGCATTATGTGCAATTTTGTTTTTAAATTTAATAAAGGAATTAATACAAACACTAAAAATCTAGTTAATTAAATAAATTAATTATTCTGAAAATTAAAAATAGATTTAATTTAATAAATAATATATACATACTAATGAATAATATATGAAGAATATTTAAATACTTAACTTATAAATTAAAAAAAATAAAAATCCAGTCAATGTTGAAAGGAAAATATCAGTGATTAATACACTTAACATAAAAAATTTAAATTAATTAATAAAATTTTCAAAACTTTAATTTTAAGAGAAATATGTGCATTTGTATGAATACACAAATCTAGGGAGCCCACTGTGCCGGGCTCGAAGCGCGTGCTTAGAGTCACAAAAGGATATAAAACAGGCAACTGCCAGCAGCGGCAACAACAACAGCGGCAGGAACAAGGAAAAAGCATAAATAATCTTGTAGTTGTTGTCGCAGCTGAGGCAGAGCTCGAATTGAAATTTTATGAGAAATTGTATTAGAGAAATGCTTTGTGGAATCACACGAGACACAGGCGACTGGCTGAGTGTACGAGTAAGTTCGGAACGAAGTGGAATAGAGGAGGGGGCAGGACAGGAGAAGGGAAGTGGGAATTTGGAATGCGGAAAAAGGGGACGCGCATTATGGCGGTTCTCCGTGTGTTCTTCGACGACGTCATCGCCAGTCCTTGCTATTGCTGTTGTTGTTGTTGTTGTTGTTGGTTCCTGTTTTCGCTTTTTACCGTTCAGTCAATGACCACATTGTGTACACAACTGCAGCGCTGCGTGTGTGAGTAAGTCCTGCCGGAAGTTGACGCCGCCGCCTGGTCATTCTCGCTGCTTTCGTGCAAGCTCTCTCCTTCGTCCTGTTCTCCCTCTCTCGCTGTGTTATGGTGGAACTGCTTTGTAGAAACTTGTTTTCCTGGATCCTCGGCCACCGCGCCATCTTTTGTGTTTGCTCAAGTCCTGCCGCGCAGTGTGACCGTTTTTAAGCGCTCTGGTCACGCTTTGATCCTGCCGTCCCTGTCTCCCTCCAGCCCCAAACACTCCCCTTACCGCTTTCCGTAGGCGTTGCCCGACTAATGACATGTTGTAAATTATACTTTTGCCCGGCGTTTTTTTTTTCGCTTTTAGCTGTCCATGCTGCTGTAATTACTCAGCGCGGGTTTCCTATTCATTCCTCTTGCCCGTTTTGTTTCGTTTTATAATTTTCTGTTGGTTTTTGTATGGTTTTTCTGCGCTAAGAATGGGGGGAAGCTTGTTATCGAAGTGCTATCACTTAATTATGTCCGGCAGTTGTCCCTTGAAGTTGCAGATGTGATAATTTGCATTTTGTATATCAGTGTAAAATTGAGGATTATTAGGGACGTGCAAAATACTTACATATCAGAGGACCTCAGCAAAATATAACAAGTCAGGAAAGTGAAAAAGTATAATAAGAACTAGAACTAATTTGGTCTTCCACCTGGAGACTATTACATTTTGTTATAAAAATAGTTTCTTTAACATTAAAGTTTCCACAATGATCGTAGTTTTGTTGTTGTTAAAGAGATTATTAAGATCTTATTATCTGTCCAACCTAAGTATTATTGTTATTAATTATCCTGATAATTAAATTAAGATGGCACTGATTTACATTTCATTTTACTGATACCGTTTTATTTGGAATGAATTAAACAAAAATTATTAAAACAGGAAATAAGAACTGTATTAAATTACGAATTTGGACTAGGAATTTGTTAAATTTATTATGACCGTTTCTTTTAAATTATCTAAAGGTTGCATTTGTGGATTAATATTTGAATAAATTATCAATATGTGTAAAAAGGAATTCGTACCTTAATAATAAATAATTAATAAAGGGCGTAAACATTACGGAAAAATAAACTTGGGGTAGCTCTTTTAGTATTTCTGAGCTCGATTTCTATGTGTGTGCAAGTTTAAAATGTAGAGCAGATTCACAGCCTTAATCATGGTTGGTTCAAAATATACCCGGTAATTTCAAGTCTCAAGTGGATTGATAACCCTGCCACCGAAGTTCACCTACCTACGATCGCATTTGATCCGAGAAATGTAAGCCCCAGATTAGATCTTGGCCAAAATCCGAAATCCAGGCCAAGACAATGCATAATGAGGATTAAGTCCTTTGCGATTTCCCAGCCGGCTCAGAGGGAAAGAAATAGGAACGGAGGGGGCCCCGACTGCGAGAGAGCGTTTCAAATGGCGATTTCAAATGCATTTTCCTTTAGCCACATCTAGTTTTCGCAACGACCCGAAAGAGCAAAGAAAATGCATTGTTCCATGGTCGTATGGCTGGATGAATGGATGGTGAAAAGGACGATGGATAACAACTGCCGTTTTTCCTCTCGGCTTGCACTTCCCTCTCCAGTTTTATCCTGCCAAACTTGTTTGCGCTGTCTCCCTCTCGCTCTACACTAATTTTCCTTCCACATTATGCTTTGACCAGAGCATTCGCATTAAAAGGACAACGCTCTCAGCGTGTGCGTGTGTGCGTGAGAGTGTGTGAGTGCGAACGCTAGCGAGTTCTGTCGACGCCTGCGTCTGCGTCGTTGCCATCGTCCTGGCATCAGTCTGTGGTTCAGTCAACGCTCGCCGCTCAGACCGCTCAGACATGTCGCACCCGTCGTGAGTGATTTCATATATATATATATATACACACAGTTATCCTCGGAGAGGCCCCCGCCCCCGGAACAACAAAGTCAGAGACTGGAAAACACAAGACAACGTCGCCATCAGATGTTGCAAAAATAAGTTTAAAACAAAACACGCCAAGCCAAAGTTAGTTAATCGCAAAGTCTAAGAAAAGCCGAAAAGAGTGCTTCAAAGTGTGTCGAAAGCAAACAGCAAATTGTGCAAATAAATTACACGGAAAGAAGCAAAGTTATGCTATAAAAATAATATAATGTGCAATAAACTATAACCAATATAAGGACAACAAGCCATCATCAAAGAGCAACACGAGTCCTTTGCCATTTTGTTGGGATTTACGCACTGAGAGCATCGAAAAAAGAAACAGAAGCGAAAAAACCATCGAAGCACATCACAAGTGAGTCCAAATTTCGTCCTTTCACACACACAAACATGTCAACACACACACACATGTACTCGCTGCCTTCCGACTCGCCCATTTTAAACCGCTCTTCAACGAGTACATCTAGCTCCCGCTCCTTGCATACCGTCTCTCTCATTCTCTCTCTCCCTCTCTCTATTTCTCCTTCGAACTAGCAAATAGTTTTGCGCACTCGTCATTGCCACCTCCCCCCTCCCCCTTACAAAACATCCTCGGTGCTCCGCTCTCTTTCTCTCTCTTTCGCTCACTGAACTCGTCGGGTGGTGGTACAGTTTTCTGCTTAGCCGAAAAATTGCGTAAATTTTCATCTAGTTTGCTGGGATGTCTCGCACGGCGTTGTCCTTGTTGTCGCTATCCTCGCCGCTTCTCCGGCCTGCAGAGCTTGCAGTCTGCGTGTGCCGAAAATAGGCAAAAACAAACTAAAAGCCATTGGTATTGAGTGAGAAAATTGTGTCGGGGGACTTGGTACCGTTTGCTTATTGGGCGTTTTCGATCTGACTGTCTTGTTGCGGGGATTACGTTTCGTCCTGGCTGACGTTCCATAATTAATTATCCGCAGTCAGTATGATTTATTGCGATTTTTTAGTGAGAGCTTCATGTATACAGAAATCTCTACATTGAGAGAAATGATTCTTTCTGACTAAAAACAAAAATTGTTATACCAATTGCCTGGTATTATTTCATCATCCTTTGAAATAAAATAAAGATTACTTGGGAATAATTTGTTATATGTTTAAACGTTTGATTGGAAAAATTGGTGTGATTTTAGGCAAATATATTATCAAAATCTGTTTAAAATGAGTAAAGAAATGACTTCTCTTATAAGGTTGACCCTCTTCAAATCTCAGTCGAACAATAGGGATGTGGATTGCTTTTGTGTTTCTATAAAATTGGATTTTCGTTCCGTTTGTTTGGAATTATTGGTTAACTTTTAGCAAAAGCTTTAAATTGTTTTGAATCAAGCTAAATAAATGGTAACCGAGTGATACGCAAATGTAAAATTTCTTTCATTTCAGCCTGGTATTAAGTCTTTTAAAGGCGTATTATTAGCTAAATAATTATCTTTGGTTTAACTCTTTTAATGTTATTAACTTTGTTCAGCAGCAATTGCCAAAGTAAAATTGGTAAGGTAATTGATAAATTCCAAACTTTCAGCCTTTAACACTATCGTAAAAACCGATCTACCTTAACCCCTTCCCATTTTCAGCCCGAGTTCTGCATGATGACATATGATATGCATATTCAATTTGCATTTATTTTTAGTTTTTAAGGCATTCAAATGAACGATCGTTGCACTTTCTATGGGCTCCTATGGGTAATGGGTCCTGCTAGCACAAGAGACAAGCCACTCGAATGGCAGCAGCAACTGCATATCCTGCCAGCCTCTATTTTCCTGCCAGTCAGCCTGCCTGCCTGCTGTTGTCGCTACCGCGCCCATTTTGAAAGGCGCTCGATGAGTTGCAGCTGTTCCTGTGTTTCATTGTTTGCTTTGTGCCAGGCAGCCGATCCTTAGCGATCCGATCCGATCGTTCAGGAGTTGCGAGGCAGGCGGGCTGGCGGACAGGCGGACGGGCATCTGCTCGGGATTAATGGCCCGAACGGAGCACGGAGTTTTAATGCTGCTTCTATCACAGTTACAGATCGAAGCAATAGACTTCACTTAGTGTCTCGTAGAGACGAAACCTGAAGCTGGCAGTAGAACGAAAACAGAGCGTCAACGAAAATGAAAATATCAGAGGTGCCCCGCATCATGGTCTTTCGGCCCACCTGGGAGGAGTTTAAGGACTTCCCCAAATACGTAGCCTACATGGAGTCCAAGGGCGCCCACAAGGCCGGTCTGGCCAAGGTGGTACCACCGCCAGAATGGGTGCCCCGGCGCAGTGGCTATGCAGATCTGGATGCCCTGAATGTTACAATTCCGGCGCCCATATGTCAGGTGGTCACCGGCAAGCAGGGCTACTACCAGCAAATAAATATCCAAAAGAAACCGTTGACCGTGAAGCAGTTCAGCGAGCTGGCCAGCACCGAGCGCTACGCCACGCCCAAGCACTTCGACTTTGAGGATCTGGAACGGAAGTATTGGAAGAACATCACATACGTGGCCCCCATTTATGGAGCAGACGTCAGCGGCAGCATCACAGACACAGACCAGGATGTAAGTGTTGGCCTTTTCAGTTCCCCATTTCCCCTTGACGAAGCATTGCCTTTGCTGTTGCAGAGCTGGAACATCAACCGGCTGGGCACAATTCTGGACTACGTAAACAAGGACTACAACATCCAGATAGACGGTGTAAACACGGCGTACTTGTACTTCGGCATGTGGAAGACCACGTTCGCCTGGCACACGGAGGACATGGACCTCTACTCAATCAACTACTTGCACTTTGGGGCGCCCAAGACGTGGTACGTGGTGCCGCCGGAGTGCGGCCGCAAGCTGGAGAAGGTTGCGAATCAGTACTTTCCGGCCAGCTACAAGAACTGCAATGCCTACCTACGCCACAAGATGACGCTCATCTCTCCCCAGATACTGAAGCAGCACGATGTGCCCGTCAGTAAGGTGTGTTTGTCAATAGCTCCACTGTCCAATTGGGTGGCGACCTCACTGTCTATATCGAACTCTTGCAGATCACGCAGGAGGCGGGCGAAATCATGATCACGTTCCCGTTCGGCTACCATGCCGGCTTCAACCACGGCTTCAACTGTGCCGAGTCGACCAACTTCGCCATGGAGCGCTGGATCGAGTACGGCAAGCGAGCGGTGCAGTGTACCTGCAGCAACGACATGGTGAAGATCTCAATGGACACGTTCGTCAAGCGCTTCCAGAGCGACCGCTACGACCTGTGGGTGGAGGGACGCGATGTTGGGCGGCATCCGGAGGATCCCGTCAACGGGACTCCCAGCGCCGCTCCCCTGCCGCCGCACCTCGATGTCCTGCTTTGTGATAAGAAGTAGGTTCCCGGACCTCTGCTGTGCCTCTGACTTTTATTTTAAACTTTCCGCTTTCGGCACTCCTCTCCTTCGCAGAATGAAGAAGCAATGCAACCCCACCAAGGCCAAGAGCTTCAAGGAGCGCAATCCCGATCTTGACCTGGATGAAATCCAGCAGAATCCCAACGTGCCCGACGACGTGAAGGCCATGCTGAAGGAGAGCGTCCTCACGCTGGACACCGGCGATCTGGGTCTCGATGAGGGCGACTTCGCCAACGAGGATGCCATGAGTCTGCAGAGTCCCGCCAATCTGAAGACGAAACAAGAGCTGCTGGAGTACATAGATGACGGCACAGGTGTGTGCTGTGCGCCGTCAGGTGCCATCGAGAGACGATCCCCTAGCTAAACTTTAATCTTTGCTTTTTCGCTCTTGTTCTCTTGTTCCTCCTTCTTTCTCTATTTGAATCTTTCAATGAGCAGAGGATGACGACGAGGAGGAGGACTTTAAGCGGCGCAAGCAGAAGCGCAAGTACGACGCCGACTACGATGACGACTGGCTGGCGTCTAAGCGCAAAACGCACTCGAGGAACAGCAGCCGAGGCCGAAGTCCGCGAACCAAGGACGACCGCTCCATATCGCCGGCCTCTTCCACGTCCTCGACTTCGCGAGGCGCGAGACGCGGCAAGGCCAGCGGCACGCCCCGTAAGACGCCAGCGAGGCGGAAAAAGGATGCCGTTATCACGTCACCGCCGGTTGCCAACAGCGCTGTCAGAGCTGTCCTGCAATCGCCAACACCTGCGCTTTCAGCAGCAGCAGCAACATCATCAGCATCTCCAACGCAATCTGCAGCAGATAGCGGCGGCGGAGGTGAGAGCAGCAGCTTTAGCAGCCACTGCACCACTACATCCACATAATCACAACAGCTTCCCCTAACCATTTTTATCCCAGCCACTAACCTCTGCCCCTTCCCAGCCACAGCGTTTCACAACATTTCGCAGCAGCCTCATTGCACTTCCATTCGCCCCAAACTCAGTGTTTTTAACAGCATTCCCATTGTTTATTAGTTTTGCGTTTTATATGTACAAATACAAATCGTCTAGTTTATCTTATATGTAAGAGTGCGCCAGAGAAATATACGATCACGCTTTTAAATCTATGCTAAAAACTAACCGAAACCAAAACTGTTTTACTAAAACGAATCCAAGGTGTTTGTTGGTGCTGCTTGGGCCTGTTCTTCTCGCTTGTCTGCCGGCCCCCAGAGTTGTCTTTTCTTGGTCGTTTGCCTGCCCCTCGCCTCACTGCCTCATTACCCTACCACCATCCCGCCGCTTGCAATACTTCCCTCCGAGTCCAGAGTCCACAGCTTCTATGTGTGTGTGTGTGTGTTAATATCACCAAGAACAATAACTAAACAAATCACAAAAAATCCTGGCGTGAATATGCACTAAATTCTTCCGATTGCCATTTTCCAGATGCCAAAAAGGAACAGCAGACGCTGCAGTTCATGCAACAGCCACGAAAGTTTGAGGGCAAGATACCAAAATTAAGTGCGGCAGCGGCAGGAGCAGGAGCAGCAGCATCTACATCCAAGTCTAGTCAAGAGCAGCAGCAGCAACAGATTGTCTACGTCAACATGTTGCCCGCGGCCAACACACTCAGTGGCATTCCCCAGCAGCAGCAGCAGTACGGTAGCACGGACGGCAACGTCTACCAGCTGCAAAACGAGATACTCTGTGATGCAAATGGTCAGGCGGTGACCACCGCCACGGCCTCATATCAGACCGCGGCCAGCAGTCCACAGCATCAGCAGCAGCAACAGCAGAATGTTGCAAGCAATGTTGCCGGTAAGTGTCCGCTTTAAACTAGTTTCGCTTTATTTGTTTATTTGTTTGTTGGTTGTAGTCTTTGTGTATGGTTTAACCCACTTGTGTACTCGTAATTGGTGTTTCAGTTAACCCCTCATTGTAAATACAAACTCACCGTTATGATTTAACCCACGTCCCACGAATCCGAGCTAATGCTTTCCCTCGTACCCTGAGTGTTGCACAATCATTCCATTCCACACCTCACCATGCGACAATTATTTGTTTATTTATGATTTCCAATTGCGACTTTTGCCAAAATTTAGAGAGGAAAAACTGAGAACTTGACTTCCACTTGCTGTGTTTTTGTCGCCAAAAAAAAACTACAACAAATTAAACTGCGCGAGAAACTCTTCAAGAATCGTCTGTACTCGCTACAAGATCCCTTTGATTAATAACTAATGCTTATCGACTGCTCCACACACCACATATGTACATGCTCTCGTCTATAATTTACGACCTGCGACCCTCTCGCAGGTCCGTGTCTATCTTTTCTCGAACCCTTCCTACGTATATTGGATCTGTATAACATAAATAAATGCACAAATCATTTCAACAGCAGGAACTCCACTCCGAGAAAAGCGCGCAGATGAAGGCTCAAACAAAAGTCGTGCTGATCAATTACTTTAACTTACCTGATTTAGTTAGAGATTAAGCTTCCGCTGCAATTCAATTTCCGGGGCTCGAGTCTGTCCAGTGCGGCCCAGCAGAAGGCGACAGTGCTGCCCATGCGCGCACGCGTCCTGGCAGCACTTGAGCGTTAGAGATTGCAATTGTTTGCCTTAGTTTTTACACTTGCGTTTATGATTTAGTTATTATTAGCAAAACACAGACTACCTCTGTAGAGAGACCTATCACTTATTGTTTCACACCATCGACACATCCAGTCCGGGGCCCTCGCGAACAGAGGAGCCGCCAAGACACCGCCAAGACACCAGTTTCATCCTCTCTGCTCTGTCCTCCTGTACAACCGCCTCAGTTATTCAAGTACGATTATTTATTTAGATTTATTTAGTACGTATTTAGTTGCGAGTACTGTACCAGAGTTACGATTACGATTGCTGTAAAGTAGACTTAAGTAAACACAGATTCTACCGACAAACAAAAACCAATTCACTCACGACGTTCTCCCCGAATATGCTGATCCGTAAATCGTAAATCAAGAGGCACGTGCACGTGGCACAGGTGCTAGCCACCTGTGGCATCTCTGCACGCAGTTGGCCCGCGAGTAGCTTCATTTGCACTGCATTCGTTTTATCCGAACCTGATTTGAGTGAATTGTTGATTGATTTCGACTTCGATTACGAATTGATTTATTGATTTATGCAAATATTACATTCAAACACATCTTTTATGAACCGAAACCGAATATGTATTTTCCAAAAAATATATAAACAAAAGACAATGTGGTCACAACTATTAGTTCGTCCTCCATCCTGCATACGAACGCCAACACCAACGGAGTGGACACGATCACAGCCACCACCCACGCTCAGCAACAGCAACAGCAGCAGCAGCCGCAGTACCACTACATCACCACCACCGGCGAAGACGGACATACCCCGACCACCATAGTGTTCGAGAACTACAATGGCGGACTGCCGGCGGTCAGTTCCGCGGCTCCGACGCCCGTCTCAGTGCCGCAAAGCAGCGCCGCCGCCACCACGACCACGACCACGGCCCTGGTCAACACGGACGGAACGATCATAGAGTTCGACGGCAGCACATATGAGGAGTACCACGTGCTCAAGAGCGAGCCCGGCAGCAGCGACTGTCTGAGCAACGGCAGCAGCGCCGTGGCCGCCGACATAATCAAGTACGAGCCACAGCACGGCATTGCCGGCGACGAGGAGGAGGACGACGAGGAGGCTGGCCTGCTGCAGGTCAAGTACGAGGAGCAGAGCCTCGAGCACGATCCGGACCACGAGCACGACCCGGACAATGAGCACGAGTACGAGGAGTTCCAGGTGATCAAGGCCGAGGTGGAGGCCGAGGCGGCGGAGCAGGCCGCCGGTACCACCAGCTACACAATCAGCCAGGATCAGGGCCAGTCGACGGGAACGTCGGTGACGTCGATGGCGCCCAAGGCGGGATCGGCGGCGGCCGCCAAGCAGAAGCGGAAGCGGAAGACACGCGTCATCGCCGACGACGAGCAGGGCGAGTACCTGGAGAAGATGAGCGTGCGCGGCCTGGACATCGCCCGCTATGAGCACATCATTGACGGCGTGGCCTACTGCCTCGTCTGCGCCAAGAATGACATTTTCAAGACCTTCAAGAACAAGTACAGCTTCCAACGGCATGCGTATCTCTTCCATGAGGGCCAGAACCGCAAGATCTTCGCCTGCCCCATCTGCAACAAGGAGTTCTCGCGTCCGGACAAGATGAAGATGCATAAGAAGGACAAGCATGGCGACGTTCCCATGCCGCCTTCGGCCACCACGACGCCTCTGAAGGCCGACGGTCCCCCGGCGAAGAGAGCGCGTAACGCTCGCACTCCACGAGTCCGAAAATCCAAGGGAGGCGATGGCAACACGCCGGCCAAGAAGCGACTGGCGCAGATCGACAGCGTTCTGGATGATGTCCAGAATGCGGAAGCTCTAACCGGGTCGCCGGTCAGCGTGAGTCACTCGCAGCAGCAACAGCAGCCCATGCAGCACACCCTTACCACCTCGCTGGCCTCCACGACGCCCCAGCCACAGCAGCAGCAGCAGCTGCAGACGCTACCCTCGCTGGACTTTAGCGGGATGATTCTGCCGGGCGGAGCACAGTTGGCGCTGGCCAATCCGGGCGCCACCAGCTCTGTGGGTCTGCAGCGCGGACCACCCACACCCAATGGCGGCCAGGCCGCCGCGCCCACCACCACGCTGATCTACTCGAACCAGCTGGAGCTGCAGCAGGCTCTGTTGCAGCAACAGCTGCATGGCCAGAGCATCATGATCCAGGACCAGGCCGGCAATCTGGTGCCCCTCCAATTGGACGGCAGCCAGGCAATATACACCACGACGCCGCAACGCCAGCAGTCGACGGCGGCACCCACATATCAGACGACCCAGCAGCCGCAGCAGCAACAGCAGCTGGTGCAGCAGCAGCAGCCTCTGAAGGTGCCCGCCAGCCAGGCGCAGCAGTCCCACTACGAGCTAGACAACGTTACCTATCTCAGCTCAACGGCAGCGGCCACCCCGGCGACGACGGAGCAACAGCAACAGCAGCAGCAACACGTGATCGGCACCGTGCAGAGCTACCAGATCCTGACGCCGGACGGCCTGCAAAGCTTCCAGCCGAAGCTGGACTCGGCTGAGCTGGGCGACCTCTGTCCCTACTCGCAGTACACCTTCACCACGCACGCCGGCACCCAGCCCACGCTGAACGCGAACGCGCTGGACGCGCAAACGCAGCAACAGCAGCACCAGCATCAGCAACACCACCACCAGCAGCAACAGCACCAGCAGACGCAGCTGCTGCAGCAGCAGCATCCGTTCGCCACGCACCACAATCCGCATCAGCAGTTCATGGAGATCAAGAACGAGCTGCTGATCAAGGGCGGCGGCGACACCTATGCCCTGGACGCCGCCTCCATGTACCACCTGCCCTTCTCGCCCACGTCGATGATCAATGCGGTGAACGATGTGAACACCTCGTCGCTGCTGGAGACCAAAGAAATTAGGTAAACCAACTCCTTCCAACTAACCATACTCCCTAGCCCTTCCCCGACTCCCTTGGACTTTCCTAGAGTAATTGCGCGCCCGATTAGATTGCCGCTCTGCATCTGTATCTCGATATCTGTATCTCTGTACCTCTCTCTCTATCTGTACTATATATGTAAACTGTATCGCTCTATCTTTGTCTCCGTACTCCTTTTGTTGAGATCTTCGGCGGCGGCGGTGGCGACGACGCTGATCTTCCTTTCACGTTTCTCACGTAGAGAGTCGCCCACCGTCGCCGAACTTTCTACTAAACACCTGCAACTTGCAACTTGCAACACCCGATGGCCGCCAGCGAACACACGAAAACCAAACACATGTGGGAGAAGTGGGGGTCTTCGCACGCGTGTTGAAAAGTCGAACCAAGTACTTACGTTAAGCATTAACCTGTTTAGTTTTAAACAATAGTATATATTTTAGTTTTATTTTAGTACTCCATTACCTTAGTTCTTACGTACCAATTATTATTTTGTAGCGTTTTGTAAGTTTGAGTTCCTTTATTTTGTATTTTGACCGTATTTGACTTGATTTCTGTGCATTTATTTATTTACCTTACCAGTAACACGAACCCATAGCGGGTTTGTACTGCATATGTATATGTATTATCTGCTAAGCGAATGCCACCCGAACCAGTAACCACCAATAACCATTTCGATTCCCCTTTCGTTTCGAGCCACAGACTTGTGTTCAAATACGTTTTTTAAACTTCAATGCAATTTTGTTCTTTTTTTCTTTCTTTTCTCTTGTTTTATTTTATGTACACACAACCAACCCACCAACCAACCAATCAATCAATCAATCAATCAATCAATCAATGAAACCAACAATATAAAACTCGCAAAAATAAATGCATTTCGAAACGCGTAGCTACGATATATCAGAGGCCGTGCTTCTAGCTCTCTAGAGAAATGTCGACCGCCACCGAAAGCTGCAGTACCAAAAATTCTATCTAAACTGAGTGCGAAATCTCGGGCAAAAGCAACGCAAATGGAAGCCAAGCGGAAACAGAAATTGATAACGAACACTGATCGAAACTTGACGAAACAGTGTGTACACACCACATAGCTATAGATACTCATTCGCTTGCCTCTTGCCTTCGTTCATTCATTCATATTCCTCCACCATCGCTTGTTGTGTGTGTGTGTGTGTGATCGACAACAACAAAAGTTAAAACAATTAACCACCTCCCCCACCACACAATCAATTCGAGTAACACAATAAAAATAATAATAAAAAAGAAATACAAAAAAAAATGTATAAAAAGTATAAAATTGGACATTAGTGCAAGGTATGTGTACTTTTATTTATTCGCTTTATTATTTCCCCGTTTGATTTTGTTTTGCAGTCAACGTTTTATGTTTTGTAACTTACCAAAGTAACCAGGGATAACAAAATCTGAGTCCTTACAATTGGTTTGACTTCTCAAGAGAAAACTGCCGCCAGATGCGACACTCCATTAAAAACATTTAAAATAATAATTCTAATCTAGTGATTAGAGTCTCGCCTGGCTGCTGTTGTTTTACCTCCATAAACAAACATTCCACCAACCACACTCGTCCATATTCGATCATTACATTAAGCTAACACATATCAGTCATAAGTGCCATTATTATAATTTACTAACCCGAATTAACTTTGATTTAAGCATCACTAACATTCGACTTACATTGAACTTTGAATGGATCGAATCGAACTAATCGAGCTAAGAAATATCAAAACGAGAATCCAGAAAACACATGCTAATCAAAATGTTTTTATTTTTTTCTTTTTTCACCCAACAACATTTTACGTTCGTCTGTGTTGTTTGTGCTTTTGTGTTATTCCCTATGATTTGCACACGAAATTCATAAACATGCGACACAACAACCTCAACAACCTGAACAACACCAACAACATGCAGGTTCTTCTAAGCACCATAGCCACAACCACAACCACGACCAGAAACCACCAATGTTCAAACGGCCATACAACACACCACCAAGCAATCACAGAACCCAGAACACGAACAACAACAAACCGAACCAAAATCCTGTCCAAGATGATTTCCAGCGTCGCCAGGCGGAAGCGAGTCGCATTTACTACGAAGAAATCATCGTCAAGCAGGCGAACGCTCGTGCCCGCGCTCGCCTCGCCGACAGCAACAGCAAAGGTTGCAGTCGCAGCAGCAGCAGCAGCATCAGCAGAAGCACCAGCAGCACCGGCAGCTTCGTCGACCAGTTCGCCGAATTTGTTGTCCATTCGTCCAGAACTACTACTCCCATGTCCTCCGATCCCATGTCCCATGTGCCGCCTCCACCAACAAATAATGCAAACGGTGTCTCATCTCTCCTTCCTCCCAAAACCAACAGCAGCAGCAGCAGCAACAACAACAACAACGTGTCCGTAGTGAGCAGTAGTGGTGGCAATGGCCTCAAGACGACGGCCAAGAAGTCCTCATCCGTCATCCTTCTGGCCGCCCGAGGAGCTGGAGCTGCCAAGCATCCGCCTATTAGCATTCTCAATGGCAGTTCCAAGGTCGCAACTGGAGCCGGAGGCGTCAGGTTGGTCCGTGTCAACTCTTCCAACCGTAATCAGCGCCAGGTGATTGTCGCCACGGAAGCTGCAGCTGCGGAACAAGAGCAGCAGCAGTTGGCCTCCGAGGAGGAGGAGCTGGCCGAGGAGGAAGAGCTTGATGGGGATCTGGACGAGGATGCGGCGGCACTTGGTGCCCTGTCCTCCTCGACTGCCCAGATCCTGCGCAAGTTCCGCATACCCAAGGGCACGGCGGTGACGGCCAAGTCGGCAGGTGACAATTACCTGGCAATGCCGACTCCCACCCCATCTCCACCGGGCGGTGTCGTCAGCGTGGTTAGCTCTGGCATGGAGGCTGACGGGGGCTACATCGAAACCGAGGATGATATTATAGAGGAACTCAATGAAGATGATCTGGTCGAGGAGATTATCGACGAAGAGCCGTGCGAGGAGCAGGCAGAGCTGCAGGAGGATGTGCCGACCAGTGCCAGCGAACACGATGGACTTCCCAACGCGGGGACAATTCTGCTAGCTCCTCAGCCCCAGGCCCAGCCCCAGCCACCGCCTCTTCAGCTGCAGACGGTGGCCTCCAACGGAACGGTGACCTGCTTCAATCTGCCGGCCAACACAATCCTGCTCCAGTCGGCCGATGGCAGCATTATCGCCGCCACCCAGGTGCCGCATCCCAGCAAGGCGGGTCATCAGCAGCTGATTGCCCTGCCGGGTAGCGTGGCCCTGTCCGCCGAGCAAATGCCCCAGCCCGCTGCTGCAACGACGCCTCAGGCCACGCAGACCCTGCTGCTGACGGCCGATGGCACAGCCATTCCCATACTGGCAACCGGAACGCCCCAGCAGCCGCAGCAGCAGCAACAGCAGCAGCAGCAACAGGCTGCTGCTGCTGCTGCTCAACTGTTTGCCGCGTAGGGGCTAATGGGTGGCCAATTGGGTCGATTTTTGAACAGTGCCACCATAATGCCGACCACGTACTTCTTTTAATCTCAATTCTAATTCTTTAAATCTCGAATTGCTTTTCAATAGCGATTATTCATTGCGATTGCTCATGGTGCAAAGCTTGCATTGGCTTAGCTTTCCACTGTCGGCACCGCGCCTTGACCCCTTGCTGGGTTTCCTTCCATAACACACCAAAAATCGTCTCATTTGGCCACCAATGATGGAAAAGGGAGAGAAAACACAATGAATAATAACTCAACCATAAGCAAAGCTACAACTCACTGATATTACTTACTACAATGTTGGATGTGCATAGGAAATGTATTTTTTTATTACCAAAACCAAATGCCTATATGAATTCAAATCAAATGTTGTTCAACACGCAGAGACACACACGAAGGAATCAAATATGTATGTACTACATTTCAAGGCAAACTTAAGAGCATCTTAAAATTAATTAGATTCGTACGCCTAAGGTAACTTTTAGACGCGAAAGTGCAAAGACGATGAGACACACACCCGAAACCAGTTGTAACTATTTTACCTGCCGCCTCTGTGCAGCGAAAAATATGTTCTAGCCTAATTTAGTGTGGTGGGGACTACTCCTCTCCACAAGTACCTATATATATATATTTAATTTGTTCCTTGCTTAAAGAGAAACAGACAGGCGACTATGTATGTTCTTCTCCTATTTATCCAATAAGTTCTCATTCTATTTATTTATTTTTGTTAACCAATCCTGTATCCGTGCTGTCCGAGCCCTGTCCCCTTGTCATTATATTTTTTATCGTGTTGTATATTCTTTACATAAATATTACATATTTTGTATCCGCAATTTTGTTATGCCATTCACTTACAAATAGGAACTCGAGCATAGCGCACCGACCTAACATTACTCTAAGTTGTAGGCTCTATATTTTAGAATCAAGTATTTTTTTAAACGAGACTCTTGCAAAGCCAAGAACCCGACACGACCCGACAACACACTAGGCTAAGCGAAGCTAGATTAAGCCTAGCACATAACTCGAACCGATGGAAGACAATGATTCAAAAATATTTATAAATATGTAATTTAAGACACAACAAATGAGCGAACACAAGTTTCACTTCTGTAAGATATACATACACTATGCCTAAGGTCTAAATAATAACGAAGCGAAATCGTAAACATTAAGCAAACTCGATGTAGCCTACATAATGTATAATAAAAAGTCGAAAGCTAATATTACTTTATATATAAATATATATTTATTATATACAATAAAATAAAATTTTAAAAATTTAAAGCAATAATCGCCGTGTTCCCTAATCTTTGGCATGCGCTCTGACGAAAACTGGTAAGTATTTGTTATATTGAAATTACAAATGGCAATAGATTCATATTGTGATGAGGAAGGTAAATTTACCGCCAAATAATATAAGCTTAAAAGGATAATATGGATTTAAAAGAAAATTTTATGTGTTGAAAGGATTCAAAACGAGAAAGGAAACAAACGACCTTGGATAAAAACCTATAACATAGTGATCAAACTCAATTTTAAATCGTACAAAATAACTATATCTAAGAGTTACAAAATCTACAATAATATTAATAACGAAGGAAAGAAATGTAAACTTTTATTAAATTTACCTATTAATATTATAAAAATATACTTTTTAAGGTTACAGTTTTGCATTTTCCTTTACTTTTAGCTGTCGTTCATATAGCAGCTAACTGTTAAAGCCATCCGATTTGCATACAATTAAAACCAAAATTTAGAAATAATAAAAAAGGACCTGAAATTTTAGTAGACTAAAATTTGTTAAAAATAATCTACGTCGTAATTTTTCTTTCTTATTAATTTCCCTACAATTCCTATGGCACTTTATGATATATATAGTTAACCGTTGAGAGAATATTTGAAAAGCTTCATTTAGATACATACATAGCTCCTAAACTGAGAAACTAATTTGCGAAGAAACGTACACGTTTAGATCGGCTCGGCTGTTGAGGCTGATCAAGAATATATCCCAATAAAGCACCAACTGCAGTTAACCATGGTTATAAATGTTTCCAGTTTTTTGAAAATTTGTCTGGGTCCTGATCTTAATCCTTATTTTATTATTAAGCATTCCTTTTACTGCAGAGCGGAATTATGGTCGGATTAGCTACATATGTATGTATGTACAGTGCAACTAAAGTGTTGGGACACTTGTAATGTTGAACTTTAAAAAGTATTAACAGACGTATGGAGCATTTTAATTAAACACTTCTTATTAATATAGTTTAATTAAATATTTGTTTATTCACTGGCAAAACTTTTTAAAAAATGCCGTTATTATTTTCCTAAAATAGTATTACCAGGCAATATAAAAGAATAAATAAATAGTAAAACTGTAGAAAGACTTTTGTTTTACAAAATATATTCCTTTTTCGTTATAGTTTAAATAGTTTTAAATGTATGAAACAGCTGATAAAGCGGCAACAACAAAAGACAAATTGAATTTTATGCGATACTTTTTATTTCGATCTCGCAAATATCGATATTTCGATAGCTCTGACGTCTGACTGCACGAAACATTTTGCCATCACTATCGAAAAAATGTAAACAAACCAAAAACACAAATTTAATTTATTTCCCGCTGTGGAACAAATTAAACCAAGTTATTGAACTTGTGCTAGATCTTTATGTTCTTTGCCACAAAGAGGAAAATCATTTTTCAGAATGCGACAAATTGTTGATGGAACCCAATTCGAGGGTTGGAACTGGCCTGATGCTCTGGCGGCCAGCTTTGCCTCTTTGGATACAGGAGCCTCTGGGCCTCTGCTTTCTTTTTCGTAATCGCCAGTGGTATCATTCTTTACAGCTCCAAATTTGTAAAGCGTCTGCTTATTCAGTAAATGACTTAATTCCTGTGGGCTGTAGAGGTTTCTGCGGTTTTAAGGCTCCAGTAGAGCTCCTGCTGGTGGAACCTCTATCTTTATTTAGATAGTCGCAAATAGTAAAACAAAGGTCATAATGATTTCATTTAAAACTAGTTCATTTAATAATCCTTTAAAATCATAATCACTAATTTACACAGCTGCAAAGAATTAAATTTATCAAAAGAGTGGCTGTCAAACACAAGCTTAACAACACTGTCAGTCAGTGTTTAGTAGGCGTGGGGAAAACTGTCGAAAGTGGTGAAAACAAAATTATTACTCAGAAGAGACTTTAATTATAAAAAAAATTACATTCAACTATTTTTAAAAGAATTTATATATATTTTTGTGCCAAAAAAACACCGTTTGAGAGCTTTTCCAGCATCCCTCGTGACCTATCGATAGGCAACACTCGCAAGCAGTACCACTAACCAGCACTACTCGCATATACATACTGCTTTGCCATTTTTATCATGGCGATTTCTTTTTGACATTTCACTACAACTGGTCGCACGTGTTTTCGGGCTAGGCTCTGTGCTAAATTGTAATTGAATCAAAGTGAGTAGCGAAAAAAACAGGGTTTTTGCGTTGATTAACAAGTGCATTCTATCGCCGCCGGCGTCCCCCAGATGAATCCGGAGAAGTTGAAGAAGTTGCAAGCGCAGGTGCGCATTGGCGGCAAGGGCACCCCCCGTCGCAAGAAGAAGATTGTCCACTCCACGCCCGCCACCGACGACAAGAAGTTGCAGTCGTCGCTGAAGAAGCTGTCGGTGAACACAATCCCCGGCATCGAGGAGGTGAACATCATCAAGAACGATGGCACCGTCATCCACTTCAACAACCCGAAGGCGCAGGCCTCTCTGCCGACGAACACGTTCGCCATCACCGGCCACGGTGAGAACAAGACGATCACGGAGATGGTGCCTGGCATCCTCACGCAACTGGGGCCCCAGGACATCAATCAGCTGAAGAAGCTGGCCACCGAGATCGCCAATAAGAGCGCTGCCGGCGGCGCAGCCGGTTCTGCTGGTGCCGATGCCGGTGACGATGATGTGCCCGATCTGGTGGAGAACTTCGAGGAGGTTGCCATTGCCGGCACGAAGGCTGCTGCCCCTGCTGACGGCGAGGTGGCGGCTTCCGCCTAAGAGGAAGGAATCACACCACATACATACATTAACACCGAACACATACAAACACACCAGGTGGAGGAGCGGAGGGGCAGGCAGGTATACAGGGCATGCCGGACAACCACAACACACGACCTACAACGCGCGCGGTTTGTCGCTGGAATAGGCCTGTCCTTCGCCGTCCTCCGCCTCTTTTTTGGGGGTCATGCTACACACTATACACTAAAAAGAAAAAAAAAAAACAACAAAATAAAGGCATCCGAGCGAGCGCTGAACAGAAGCAACACCTACACATAATACCTTACCATAATATGTAACGTACTAAGGGAACCTTCAGACCTAATCTAATAGTCATAGTTTGGAAGCGATCAAAATGTATTTTCCAAAGCGATTAAAGCACGTTTCCTTAATCCAATATTGGAATCCAAATCCACTACTAATTTCTCCCAAAACACCCACACACACTGCGCTCATTCATAGAAACTATATATACAAACACTTTTACGGAAGAAGACGAAGAACACAGGAGGAACAGTGATCAGGGGACGCAACGCAGACACTCCAGAAGAAGTCATTGCCAGGAGGACGGGAATGTAGAGAAGAAGGAATGTATTTTTAGCTATAATTCCCAAATTCCCGTTCCACTTTCAATCCAATTGTAACCCCCACACGCACACCACTCCGCTCCGCCTCCACAGTTCGAAACGTAAACAATGTGCAGTCGCCAATTATTTCAATTTAATGATACCAAAATTGTTGAAAACTTTTATTATAATTTGTAAACTATTTTTTTAGGCCATCATTGCATACATTAAAAGAACTGTAAAAACATATATCAATTCCATATTTATCTCATTTATTTTGGGCATTTACTACATTTATTTTTTTCTTGCATAACAGACATGTGTATGTGTGTGTGTGCCTGGCAACGCTCAATAGGTGGGAAAGGGAGGGAGGTGGCTACGAAAAGCACGCGGCAGTCGAAACTTGTTGACATTGAAATTCGGCAGCTGTCTGCTTAAGACTAAGAAACACGGCCCAGTGGAATCGAAGCCGCCTCAGGTGTTTTCCGGGGTTCTGGCCAAAAGGCAAAGGTAAAAGCTGACACCCGGCATTTGTGTTGTGTGAATTTTTGGTGGTGGAGCGTTCCTATGCTAGTGTGGGTATGTTTTGGTTTCAAAATTCTCCAAATGAGTCACCATTTAAATTTGCCTTAAATTGCCAATTTTCAGGTTGTTGATCAAGGGGAGGCAGAGGCAGGGCTAGTATAGCCGGAATGTTTCTTGAAGTTTCCATTTCAATGTTTGCTGATTGCGGTTGGCGAACCTAAGTTCTTATCAGCGTTCACCGAACCATAAAAACGTATTAAGGCCGATGCAAATCTACACACACAAAAACTGGTGTAGTAACGAGGTCTTATTAGAGCTTGAAAAACATGCCAGTTTAATTCATGTTTGTATTGGTTATTTATTTACTTTTACTTCCCCTTTATTGCCGCGGTTTGAATTTGCCGGTAGGACTGCCAACTTGCTGAAAATGGTTCTAATAAATACAGTACATATTGGTCTTAATGGATTATAACTTAGTACAGGGTGTACTCGGCTGGGAGTTTAAGAAAGCATTTAGCATACAAATGTTAAAAGATTTATAAATCTGCATATTTTTTAAAGAATTTAATGCGTATTGTTTTGTATAAATCGATAACTTTTCAGTGCTGGAAAACGATAGCTAGCACTTTCTCTTAAAAATTTCCGTTGCAATACAAAAATTGAAAAGGCTATAAAATATAAACATTTTAAGATAATACCAAATTAACAGATTAAGCTCTAGCTACTAGTTTACATACAATTATTTATTTTCATTCCAGCCATTTCCTGCCACAAAAACCACAAACTTTAAATACACTTAAACTTTTTGCTGTTATCTTTAAACGAATTGTTATTTGGATTGACTAGAGCGTAGGAATTTCCTTTTTACATATGCTACAAACCACCTTACAGGCGACACGATTAGAGATTGGAGTGTCCACTCGATGAAACACCTGTGCTCCCGTCTCTGGAATGGTTTTTTTCTGGGGATTCACCCGGATCTGTGGTGTCTTTTGCCTTCGCTCGCTTTCCACGCAGCAGCAGAGCAGGAAGCTTAGAGGCACCGCCTCGCCCTCGTCCAAAGTCTGCGGCAGGTTCCGGTTGCGGGTCTCCGGCAGCAGAAGACTGGCGAATCCTCCCAGGATCAGCAAGGCCCCCATCACGATCAGAGGCAGCACAAGCATTTGTTGGCCCTACGAATAAATACGTATATCTTCCATTATTATTATAAACAGTCAAGCAGATTCCCGCAACACTCACCATATGGTTAATCATGGGAATCACTATAGGTCCCACCATTGCCACCACGGAGCTGAAGCTCATGCCCAGGCCCCGCACCACTGTCGGATAGAGCTCTGATGCCAGCAGCGGCAGGACCACAAAGGACGAGCTGATGCCCATCTTGCCCACACAGTACAGCAGCAGGGTGATGCTTGGATAGAGGAAGGTGGCCACACAGGCCACTCCGCCCACGAGCATCGAGATGAAGAGTATCCAGCGGCGGCCAAAGTAGCTCAGTCCCGGCCACAGGAGCAAATACGTGGGCAGCTCCACCGCCCCGGCCAGAAAGAAGTTCCAGATCTCATCGCCACCGAGGGCGGGAGCATAGTAGCTCAATCCCACATAGACACTGGTGTTGGCAAACCAAATAAGAGTGATGATGAGGGTCTTCCGGCGCATATTGGGTCCGCGGAACAAGTCCAGGATGCCGTAGTGTACACTGGACGCTGACTCCGTCTCGGCTGCCCTGGTGGTGGCCAACTTTCGCTGCAGTCGCTCCACGAAGTCACGGTTCACCCGAACGCCATTCACTCTGGCCATTACCTTGAGGATTTTCATGGCCCTCCTAGTCTTCCCTACCGCCATCAGCCATCGCGGCGATTCCGGCAGAAGAAAAAAACAAGAGAAGAGCATCAACAGGGGCATGGACACCGCCAAGCTGAGCTCCCTCCAGTCCCGGACGACGTAGATAACACCGGCCAACACCACCAAGCCAAGGGAATAGGCGATATTCGAGACGATCGTGCAAAAGACCCTTCTCTCTGGACCCACCAGCTCGATGGCCAGGACATAGGGACTGGCCAGGATCGCGGGTACCGTCAGGCCCACCACAAACCGCAGGCCGAGCCAGGTGTAATAGTTCCAGGCGAAGGCACTCGCCGCACAGGCAGTGATCTCTAGAAGCAGATAGGCGTAAAAGGAGGGACGTCTGCCCCACAGATCCACCAGATAACCGAACACATAGTTGCCCAAGAGGCCGCCCACACCGAACACAACCAGAGCCAGGGTGACTAGGAAACTGCGGTCGCACACCAGGTTCCACTGTAAGGACAAAGTGTCAGTATTAAACAAATTCTTAACAAAAGGCACGGAAACCCACCTCCTGCACCACAGTACTGGAATATATTGACCGGTCGTAGTGCCAGCCATGCTGGCAGGGCACCACACGCGCCGGGTCTGGCTGATGCCTCAGCAGGTCCTCGGCCTGCTGTCGCATCAAGTCCGGTGGCGGACGATACTCCAGAAAGCGCACAATATCGCTGTAGTTCCTCGCATACATGGAGCATTCGGCAAAGCCGCCGTGACGATTGCGCGGAATGCTGAGATTCTTCACCAGCTGGACATAATCCTGGTTCCAGGGCTCCAGCTCGGGAACCCGACACCAGTGCTGCGGCGTGGCAGCTATGAATAACTGGCTGAAATGTCCCGTTATATGATTAAGGGTTTCAATTATTACATAAGCATTCGTTACTTGAACTATTTCATTTTCTAAGTGCTTAAAGAAATGAAATGGAAATCGAACCTTTGGGTCTGAAATTAATTAACTTGGACATTTAAATTCAAATATGGTTTTTAAGGCACCATGGACCTTGCCATAAATTTTATTTAAATTAAGATGGTGTTTGTAAGACCTTTTGGGATTAAATATGATCTCGGTTATGAAAAGATCCTGAAATACATCTTATCCCCTTAGCTCCTGAAACCCTGTGGGATGTCTTTCCATAAAACTCTCTCGTAATACCATTGAAAAAAGTTCAAGCTCATTAGGAAAACCATTATAAAAAAGCCCGAAACTCTTATAGAAGGAGACCCACCTATAGGCGTGAAAGGCACAGGGCAGGGCTGCCGGCAGTAGAACAGAACAGATGATAAACTTCTGATAGAGGCCAAAGGAGCCCACCTCCCGTAGCACCTCGTCAAAATCCATGTCCGCCCGCCAGTTAGAGATTCGCACAACTGACGATCACCTTGTCCACTTCCAGCTGTAGTCCAGGAACTAGCGGCACGGCAGGGGCTGATTGGACATAATTACATTACGGCTCTCGTGTACATTAATTAATTGGACACCGCGGCGTGGACAAGGTTCGAACTAGTTGAGCAGCGCCCCAAATCCCGTCCCACTCCCAGATCGCAGACCCAAATCAAAGCGAGCTCTCGAGCTCTGCGGAGGGTTAGCTAGTCGGTCTGTATTTCTTGGTGGCCAAGGTGGCATTGGGATCTAAACACTGGACAATGGTATAAAATTAAATTACATATCTCTAGAGGTGCAATGGAAACTATGGAAGACCGGCGCGACACCGTCTAACTGCGGGACAGTCCAATAATGGTTAGTATGTACATGAAGATGTTGACAATATCCAGGTAGAGGTTCAGAGCCGCGAAGATATACTCCTCAGGACTGATGGAGTACTTGTGGTTGCCGCCCAGCATTAGCTGGGTGTCGTACACCAGATAAATGGAGAAGAGCAGCGCTCCCAGAGAGGCGTAGAGCAGAGCAAACACCTTGCCCGGAATGAAGATGGCGATTATTCCAAAGATGATGAAGACCACAAGGCAGGCCACCAGCACTCCGCCGCACATGGTGAAGTCCCATTTGGTCTGCAGGGCGAACAGAGTGAGGCCAAGAGCCACCGCTGCCGTAATGCCCACTGCAATGAGCACCTCATCCGCCTCGTACTGGCCGGCGATCATGCCCAGGAGGAAGGACTCGGCGAGTGTGAACAGGAACAGGAAAATGAAGTTCAGTGGCGTCTTCCGGCGTACGCTCTCGCAGCAGGCCATGCAAATCATGGTCACAATGAGAACGGCCTGGAAAATTAAAAGAGAATTTAAATGGGTTAGGAAAATGTTCGGGAGCTTGTGATAGCTAAGAAGACCATATATTTAGCACATACATAATGGAAGCTTTTGATATCGCCTAAGTTATAAATTATTGGTAGCTTAATACCAATTTATATGATTCAAAAATTACCTGGAACTATTAAAAAACTTACCAAAGCAATCCATAGAAGGGCTGGATTCTTTTGCACCCATTCCTGGGAAGCTTTCGAGAAGGTAAACACACAAACGAAGCCGAAAGTGATCAGCAACTGGCACTAAAAATAGAAAATGAAAGTGATTATAGATTATAGATTACAAGAAAATTAATAAGTATACATTTATAATTAAAAATCTTGAATGAATAAAGAAGATAAATAGAAGGCAGTAAACTGAATAAAACTTATTTAACAGTCATATTCATATTTTAACCACTGAGATAGAAAACCTCATTTACTTAAAGAAAAACCAATATTGATGACCAATTCCAAGCGATATCTATCCACTCACCATCAATATCAGGTAGACCTTCCGAATGAATCCCTTCCGGATGCTCTGGTCATCGAAGGCGAAGCTCTTGTCCGCCTCCGCATCTGTATATGCGCCCGTTTCATCGCCTGTGTGGTTGGAGGACAGATCAAGGAAATAGAGGAGTTAATGACGTGACTAACCGTACTGGAAATGGTTGGCGCTGCTCATGGCCTTAATCGCTGTGACTAACTAACAATAAAGAAGAGCTCTCTCTGCCGCCGGCTACGTGCGAGTGGTTCAGCTTAATGGCGAACCCTTTCCAGGTGTTCACATATGGCCGACGACGATTCCAGATTAGCCGCAACGCGCTTATCACAGACCACTCACCACACTGGCTCCAGATAAGGGGAATTGATGTATGTGTCTGGGTGAGTAACTGATATCACCACGCCACAGGCAGCAGTGTTCAATACACTCTCCCATGAAATGGTAAAGTGAATCACGGAAGCACACAGAGAACCATCCCCGGCCTGTCTTATCGGGTGCAATTGGGCCAATACATGGAGATTTGAGTAACTCGTTTAGTGTTCTTCCCACTGCAGTCAGGTTTATATTACAGTGGATATATCTTATCTGAAAGCAATTTGCCTGCCAACAACTCCTTCGATTGGGCTTAGCCCGTACTTGCCTTGCTGGTAGTGATACATTTTATGGCTACGCCTTGCTGGAATTCACACGAGCTACTGAATAGGTCAACCCGAAAACTAAAACACGCCGTAACTCTGTGGCAACTTGGCCCGACTGCCGAAGATAACAAAGTAAACTCGGTGATTCGGTGACTTCCAGTGATAAAGCGAAAAGGTATTCTCGATAAAGGTGTAGAAGTAATCCAACCGCCGGCTATGCTCTCCTCTTGCAGACTAAAGTTGCATCTGGTTGGAACTTACCCGGCTGGCAGAGAGAAGCCCCACAATGCCTGGGCTCTGTGGCTTTAATAAATAGATGCGCTTTATTGTGTGACTTTAAACTCAGTGTCGCTGCTTAGTTTACAATGTTCGGTCCTTGATTCGGGATTCCGCGCGGATTACAGACAGTTTTAATTCGTTTTTACATAACAACGGCAAGCCGGGTTGCTTTAATATATCCCACATAAATATATATGTTTATACGTGACTATTTATTGTTGGTTGTGGTTTTGTGTATCTGAATGGCATATCATTTGGTATACATATATATATATTATTATAATTTTGTTTTTTGTTTTTTGGGGAATTTTGAAGAACATCATCCAGTTAACACAGTGCCCTCAACTTAAGCAGTAATACAAAATACATAACGAAAAGCAAGTAAGTTCGCCTCACCTTAACTGACATTTAGAACTAGAAGGAAACACCGGAATCAGACAAAAACACAACGCGAAATAGAGATATAGATCGTAAGTAATTTGAGTAATTCGTTAGTTTGAAGAGATTGCCTTCACTTCGGGGGGCAAAAGGTGTAAATACCGATGAGATTACGCGCGACAACAATATTCATATTCCGGCTAAAGCTTGACCCGGCCTAAACTGGTAAACAACATAACGGAAATCGTGCGAGCCTTAGTCGCGCGAGGCTCCGATTATAGTAAGAATGTACATGAAGATGTTGATGATGTCCAGGTAGAGGTTCAGCGCCGCAAAGATGTACTCCTCGGGGCTGATCGAGTACTTGTGCTCGCCGCCCATCATCAGCTGGGTGTCGTAGATCAGGTAAACGGAGAAGAGCAGCGCCCCGATGGAGGCGTACACAAGCGTTATGATCTTGCCCTTCATGAACATGGCCACGATGCCGAAGATCAGGAACACCACCATGCAGGCGATCAGGACGCCGCCCATCATGGTGAAATCGTACTTGGTCTGCCAGGCAAACAGTGTCAAGGCCAGGCAAACCGCTGCCGTAATGCCAACCGCCAAGAGGACCTGTCGCAAAGAGGAAAATGTAAAATTAACTCGAAAAAGATAAAGCTCAGCCCACTCACCTCGCTCGGTGCATATCTAGTGGCCGAGACTCCCATTAGGAATGACTGAGCTGCCGTGAATAAGCCCAGGAATATAAAGTTGGTCGGCGTCTGGCGGCGCACACTCTCGCAGCAGGCCATGCAGAGCATGGTCACAAGCATCACGCCCAGGGCCACCCAAAAGAGCCATAAGTTGCGCTTGGCAAAGTTCTGTGTGCCCTGGTGGAACACGAACAGGGCAACGGCTCCAAAGGTGACCAGGAGTTGTCCCTGCAAGGAGAGGAATGCAAAAACGTTACTAGGGTTGGCGTAGAAACGAAAAGATAATAAATCTGAGGAGCTACTGGCTCATCCCTGTACTAGAGGAACTTATCCTTTATAAATCATAAATTGTCTTCATAAAACCATTACTTAATTACAAAAAATTTTAAATACTCTACTTAATAACTATTAAAAAATGAGAGTACTAAGCGTTCTTCAAGAAAAATGTTTACAAAACAAAACAAAAATCTTGTTTTTCTAGTTAACAAGTCGCAAATATGCAAGATATCCGGTTTCAAATGCTATACAATGAAACTAAAAGCTTAAAAATGTTAACAAAAAAAGAACAAGTTCTTATATTCTCACAATTCAAAGTTGATTAGAATAACGAACCCAGAGGAAGCTTAAAAGATATTAACTAAAACAGTAAACTACCTAAATTTAGGGCAGAGAGTTTCCCAACAACCCCGACACTCACCATCAGAATCAGGTACACCTTGCGAATGAATCCACGACGGATGCTCTGGTCGTCAAAGGAGAAGTTCTTGGGCTGGCTCTCCGGATCGTCGTAGGCCCCGTATCCACCAGCCGACGGTGGTGGCTGAATGAAACCCGGCTGGGGAGCATAGCCGCCTGGCGGTGGTCCCTGTCCGTAGGGCTGACCATACGGCCCCTGTGGATAGGGCTGGGCGCCTCCTTGGGCGTACGGTGGATAGCCCTGTGGTGGTCCCTGCGGCGGATAGCCTCCGCCGCCATAGCCACCTTGAGGTGGATAGCCACCGCCGTAATTGTACTGCTGGTTTGGATCTGCGGGATGAGACATGGGGCTATAGTTCAACGCTGATACGGAGATATATGTATGTTCAAGACTTTCTGCTAGAGCATTCTAGCTACGGAGAAGTGTAAGATCTAAATGAGACGCTCTTCGCTCACGAGTCGAGCTATCAAGCATCGCGCATCCACGAGTACTCTACCGCAAATATGTACATTCAACCATGATAAGACAGAACATGTTACGAGCTCGCTAAGTGTGTGGGGGGAAAAGTAACGATGAAATAATGAATCATATTTTAAGGGGCGCGCTCCAGGGCACTCGGAGGAGCATTCAACGAGTCAGCACACCCCGGGGACAAACAAAAGCATGCGATTATTGTAAACCAACCGGAAAGCAGAACAACTCGCTTAGAAAATCAAGTGAATAAACCTTGGTATTGGGGGTACTGGGGAACACTTTGCCAGGACATTATCGCAGATCTCGCTCGCTGCCTTTTGCTCTTTCTCTTTGGGGAATTCTACTGCCGATACACACTGCTGTGGAGTAGAGACCCAAGAAACGATCCATTAGTTCGGCTTAGCCCCTTCGCACTCACCTTGCATTTTGCCCTCGCTTTGGTATTGGTTGTGTCTGTGTTGCACCGAGTTTAATGTATATTTTTACCTGCAAGCAGAAATAATAGAAAATATTAGCGTTTGTTTTTCCGGGCTAATTTAATTAGTGGGTAAACGGATATGCATGACTCTGGGTTGAGTTTCACTCTTTTTGTGTGGCATGCCACTTTAATTATCAATCAATTTGACACATTATAGTAGCTACTTTCGCTATGTATACCCTTCTCAGCGAGTATTATTATGACGTAGTCAAGAGGACAACCGGAAGCCACAACAAAAGTTATATTTACTTTATACAATACAATCCACTCTGAGAGCCTGAGTTTCAATTGATTTATGACTTCTGGAATAAGGAATCCCAAAAGAACACGAAATATAAATTGTAAGCCTTATCACTTGACATGTATTTAAGAGTCAACTGTATAATATTCTTGGAAACTGAATGAATAACGAAAAAAAGTATTTATTTTAAGTGGAATCGAAAAGTCAGAGTTTAAGAAAATATAACAATGAGCCTAATATTTTATAGGACTTTAACAAACAAACAAAAATATTCTATAAGGGTATTTACTCTTCCGTTTGCCAAAAAGTTTGCTTCCTTTATGGTGGAAAAACTTTTGTTTGTTGTGGCAAATATGACGTGTGCCTTTGAAGCTTTTGTCCGTGGGTGTGGAAGTGCTCTTTAAATGGCCGGCAACGTTTAATACAAACACAGCCAACGGCGACCCCGCAAACTTGTACGCTTTAATCTAGTCGCAACTATTAAATTGGTTCAGCTGTACGGGGATAGTCACACGCGTAAATAATACATACACAAGTGCTGCTGCACGGTAAGTACTCGACGAAAACGGTGACTCACTCCGGCGCTGGCCAGCTTCTCGAAATTACCGGGGAAGCACACCATTAGAAAAGTGATAGCAGGACCCGGAGCAACCCCAATTACCAAATTAGCCTTTTAACGGGTATAATTACCTCTGGATTACGCACTTATTCGATGAAAAACAAACAAATTGCTTTTGTTTTTCTTGTTAATTGTTTCCGAAAAATCGAACTAGAGATGGGACGGAGGCGCAGATGTAATCGATTAAGCCATGCTCGCATGCTATCGATGTTTTGCTCACGAGTTTTCATGAGCGCGAAAAAAACATAAAAAACTTTAAAAATATTTACAAATAAAGTAACAGAAACGTTTAGTTAGTTTTGAACATAATTCTCTCAGCCACTGGTATTTGCTTTTTGTAAAAAAAGTGCACATTCCTATTAAGTGTGACCAGCTGCCAAGGAGGGGAGAATCGTGTGTTTTATCTTATCCATATTTGGCTTTCTAAACGAAACACCTGGCGGGCACACTGCACCAACGCGAATTCCGTGGATTTCACGGCGTGAATTTTTGTCGTTTGTGAATAAAAAGGGCAGAATCCAAGTGGTAAGGCGGGTGCACTTGTGTGCACTATTGAAATGATTAACACATCAGGATGAGGGCGAGTGGGCAGTGCCTACACTGCACCACCACAAGTGTCGCGTGTTTAGGTTATGTGCCAGACGAGCCGCATAGACAAAGAAACCCCTACACCGCCCCCGGCCGGATCCCCGTGACGTATTCCCCGGACATATGGGGAGCCGTGGGCGGAGATCGGGTGACTGAAGTTAGTGCCACTTTTTCGCAAGCGGGTCACTTCATCCGCCGCGGGGTATTTATAGCAGCGTGACGCAACGTGTCCAAGTTTCCATCCTTTTGCTTATCATCGTCGACTCGTGCGGTTTACGGTCTAGTTTTTGTGGCACCCCACTAAAATATATACCCCCTTCCTCTCTCCGCTTACAGCCGTTTTCGTGCATTCCAAGATGGTCGAAGACAAGGAGAATGTGGCCAACGGGGAGCAGGTCTCCAAGAAGGGAGCCAAGAAGCAGGCCAAGGCCGCAAAGGTGAGTGCCGCTCCGATCTGAGGACGTGGCGTGTTTGGAACCGGCGATAACAACCTTATCTCTTCTAATCCACAAAGAAAGCGGAGCAGAAAGCTGAGAACGCCTCGGCGGCTGCTGCCAACAATGCAGGAGGCGATTCTGCCGAGGATCACGCCGCCGGACGCTACGGTCTCTCGGAGATGATCCAGTCCAAGGACAAGCGCAGCGAACGTAACTTTGTGCCCGTCCATGAGCTGAGCGGCCAGGTGGGCAAGGCGGACCTCGTTTGGGTGCGCGGCAGGGTGCATACATCACGTGCCAAGGGCAAACAGTGCTTCCTGATCCTGCGCCAACAGAGCAGCACGGTGCAGTGCATCCTGGCCGTGGGCGACGTCATATCCAAGCAGATGGTCAAGTTTGCGGGCAAGTAAGTGCGATTTCGTCAGCGAAAGCTACATACATACATTGAGATGCTGTAATAGCCCCTCAGAAATGTGAAATACTTTTTTCACACTTAATTCTGAAATTTAAAACTTAATACCTTACTCCTTGCAGTATTCCCAAGGAGAGCATCATCGATATCCAGGCCAAGCCAGTGGCGGTGTCCAGCAAGATCGAGTCCTGCACGGAACAGTCGCTGGAGCTGTGCGTTGAACAGATTTTCGTGATTTCGCAGGCCAAGGCCCAGTTGCCGCTGCAAATCGAGGATGCCTCGCGTCCTGAGAACGCTGATGATGTCGATGGCTTGAATATTCGCGTGAACCAGGACACGCGCTTGGATAACCGAGTGCTGGACCTAAGGACGCCGGCGAATCAGGCCATTTTCCGGCTGGAGGCGGGCGTGTGCCGCCTGTTCCGTGACATTCTCACCGATCAGGGCTTCACCGAGATCCACACGCCCAAGATCATATCGGCGGCCAGTGAGGGTGGCGCCAATGTGTTCACCGTGAGCTACTTCAAGGACTCGGCCTATCTGGCGCAGTCGCCGCAGCTGTACAAGCAGATGGCCATCGCTGCCGATTTCGACAAGGTGTACACCGTGGGTGCCGTCTTCAGGGCGGAGGACTCCAACACCCATCGCCACTTGACCGAGTTCGTTGGCCTTGATCTGGAGATGGCCTTCAAGTACCACTACCATGAGGTGCTGCACACGATCGGTAACACGTTTACGGCCATTTTCAAGGGACTGCGCGACAAGTACGCCCGTGAGATCGAGTCGGTGGGCCAGCAGTACAAGGTGGATGCCTTCAAGTTTCTGGAACCTCCGCTGATCCTGCAGTTCGCCGAGGGCGTGGCCATGCTTCGCGAAGCGGGTGTAGAGACTGGCGATGAGGAGGATTTGTCGACGCCCAACGAAAAGCTGCTGGGCCGTTTGGTCAAGGCCAAGTACGACACCGATTTCTACATCCTGGACAAGTTCCCGCTGGCGATACGACCCTTCTACACGATGCCCGACCCGAACAATCCCGTATACTCCAACTCCTACGACATGTTCATGCGCGGCGAAGAGATCCTGTCCGGAGCGCAGCGCATCCACGATCCTGAGTACTTAATGGAGCGGGCCAAGCACCATGGCATCGGTAAGTGTTTTTCTTGAACGGGGCTTATAAGGTTTAATTTTTCTCCTCTTTTTTTTCGTATTTTCATTGCAAAAGCCTAACAAAATTGCCTAACTCAAAAACTTAACTAAAGTTGATTAATTATGAAAAAAGTGTTTTCTTGGTGTTTATTTAACAATACTATTTAGAACAATATTAGGGTAAGCTAGAGTCGCGCACTATCTTTAAATGTACAATAACTTAAACACAATAATGATACTATTAAAGTGAATATCTTATCAGTAAAACTCATTCAATAGCAGATAAGAAGCAATATCTTTTGATTATAACTGTAAGCAATAATATTTACCATTGTTTTTTTTTTCAGATACCTCAAAGATAGCGGCATACATCGAGTCGTTCCGCTACGGATGCCCCCCTCATGCCGGCGGCGGTATCGGAATGGAGCGAGTGGTGATGCTGTACCTGGGATTGGACAACATTCGCAAGACCTCCATGTTCCCCCGCGATCCCAAGCGGTTAACGCCTTAAACTAAATCAACCCGAACTCAAACAACTTTAATGTGAATTAAATTCGATGAAACTATTGTTTTACTTTCCCCTGTGACTTTCCAAGCATCAAGTTCTTTTTATTTCGTAGTCGTATGTGTTTTTCCCCCTATTTCTCAAGACTAACATGCTGCGCCGGGTTGTTTTAAACAACAAAAAAAAAAAAAATCAGAAAACTGTACGAGAGAAGACTGCATAGGGTCAGATTAATTTGAAAATTAGCAAGAAAATAAATAATTGCGCGGATGTTTTGTACTTCAATAATGGTTTTTGATTTAATTGGTTATTGGTTAGATAAAGGGAAAGCACTTGGATCTTAGAATTTTATATTTTCTGTAGCATATTTTAAAGCGGACATAGTGGGATATACATACATATGTATGTACATATATAATAGACATTGGAAACCATATTGGATTGACTAAGAAAATATTCGTTTTTAAATTAATTTCATGTCTATTAACCTATTAAAAAGGTCTGACTCAAATTGATCGATTTTATAGATAAATTCAACATATTTAAAAAATAAAATTTATATAGAAAGTATGACTGCTTGGACTGATGCTGCCTTATATTTCTCTGGTTAGGGAAATTACAAATAATTGACATTAAATAATAAAATAGTGACTATAAGTAGTGCGTCAGTCAGTCTTTATGAAACAAAATATCTCAGAAGAGACTGTAAGAACTAGAGCTTTAAAATTTGTGTAAAATTTGACAACCTTCTTTTCCGCTCCACAATTCAGAAAAAACAGCAACTAAGGTACATACAAACATATGTACATACATAATTACCGTTTCGAGTAAATGAAACATGTGCAAAAGTAATAAACATGGAAGTTATTGGACAACTTCGTTACTGAGTATTTTGAACTTCTGCAATGAATGAAGCACCAATAAATGTTTTAGCAACAGTTTTCCTTATGTAAATGTTCCTAGCAGCAAGTTCCTTAACTAGTCAACATTTTCTTCATCGTTTCGCCCTGTTATTTAATTTTCTCATAAATTCAAGAAATGCTTTGGTTACCGGGTATCTCACACAGTCGGTCCCACTCGACGACCGCGATCACTATTGAATTATTACGTATAATTAACGGCAATTATGCTTTAATCAAGGGGACCAATTTTCCAATGTGGCCTTCAAACTTGAGGAAAGTAAAGCGTCATAAACCTTCGATTCGTCAACGTTTATAAAAATTCAAGGATTAAAAATAAAAAGAAAAATCTAAGAGTTAAAAAATACTTTAAAACACCTTCACGATTTTTAGAGGTTTTAATTTTTACTGATTTGTTGTTTAGTTTATAAATAGCAATATACCATTAATGAAAACCCTTTCCTACGAGTACTTTATGAAAGCAGCCTGGAAATTACACCGTTTATCTTGGACTGCTTTCCTCTATTTGCGTGACTTTTCAATATGTTTTGTTGTTATTCTTTCCGAGAACTCGTAATCTTGACTGCAGCAATCAAAGCCAGTAGCTGCTCCGCATCCTGCACCTTGTCAGCCGGGTATCAGCAGCGAAATAAAACGGGGAAAAGGAGCAGGCACAATAAATTGTATTCATTTGCAATCAGATTATTATCAATACGTATACGTCACGGTGCTCGGGTGGCGGGGCAGGAAATGTTGGAAGGAGGAGGCTCTCCGGGCAGAGTTGAGAACGAACTGCGGGGCACTGCAAGCACTGTTGACACAGTTGGCGCATACTTTTCGGTGCAGAATAAAAGGACGACGACGACGACGACGAAGGCGAATGCGAATTCCTTTCAATCTGTTTGTCGAACTTTAAAATCAAACACAAGCACGCACACACACTGAGGCAGGCGCACAAATTCACCGTGTAGGAGTTTCGTCTACTTGAAGACAATTGAGACGCACTCCATTTTATTTTCACACCACGCCGATGTGTCCTGAGACGGCAGCCGCAACAACTGAAACAACAGCAATAACACAATCAAGTAGGCGGTGCCTGGCCGCGCACACTAGTCGTCTCGCTCTGGCCGGCGGAACTCGTGCGGTGTGCGAGCGAGAGCTGGTTGCCTTGAAATTGCCATTTTGTTTTCGACTCTGCTCCGGCGTCGCTGCCGCCGTGCTGCCACTGCTGCGACCGCTGCAGTTGGATTTACCGCTGCTTTAGCCAGTTGGTTTTTTCTCTTCCGATTGAGCAGCAGCCGGGCTCTCGTGTGTCTCTCGCTTCTCCGATTCTCCGTTTTTCCGCGCCAGCTGTAATCGCTGAAGTGAAAAGCGAAAAAATCCCCGAAATCCACTGTGAGCGATCGCGGCAAGTGCAGTTCATTTGTTTTCCAACATAGTGCGCCGTTATAATTCGAGGCAAGAAAACGGCAGAGATTTCCGCGGATGCTGCAAGTTCCGCCGCTCCCTCTCCCTTGCTCCCGCTCTCATCCTCGCCGCCTCCATCTCGCTCGCTCCATCGCTGTTTCTCGTTCTCGCGCGACGCCAAGAATTTATGGAATTTGGCATTTTGTGGATTTAGCGAAAATATTTTCATTGAGTGCGCCGATCAAATGTTTGCTACTCGGCTAAAAATAAATATCAAAATACGCAGAGCTGCTGCGAAATCTCAAATATTCACGTGCGAATTCCCAGAGCGCTTCAGTTTCAATTACTATTCAAATTAATAGCGGCTGCGGCGAAAACGAAAGCAAAACTAAAACAAAGCCAAACGTCAGTTTAAATCAAATCAAAAAATGGAAAAAGAGTTGTGAATTTGTTGAATCTCTTTACCTGCGATTGTTCCAAAAAGTGTACTTTAAACAAAAATACAACAATAATAGATAATAATAATAAGCTTGCCCTTATTGGATTACGCTTTACAATTTCAATTGGTAAGTTTTTGTGCTTGAAATTAAGGGAAGGGGAGGGTCTAATTGGATCGGGAATATGAAGGTATTAGAAGAAGGTAACGTCCAATTGGAATATTTATTAAGAATGCAATTGGTATGAGTATTGATTTTTTTTTAGTTTTCATTGGAATTGTTGTAAGGAAATGCTACCTTAAAACTACATACATAAATATGTACATATATGTATATAGTATAATTATATTTATAAATTTTTTCTTGACCCTCGAAAAAAATTAAAATCCCGTCGGTCTAAGCTGTATTTTTAAATTATTTTCTCGATTTAATATCACTCATTACTAGACTCTTGAATATTTTCAGAGAATTAATGCAAAATTGTTCACTACATTTAAGTAATATAATTACCGAAGAATTTTATTTTACGTTATAAACACCTGTAAGGTTTTAAATTAAGTTTGTTAATTATTTTTAGCATACTTCAGTATTTGATTATATCATACCTCTCATTTTAAATTATCGCCCCTTGATTAAACAATACTAAAAATGTGTTAGTTTATTAAATATGAGTTAGGTTCCATTTAAAAAGCTATTTCAACGGGATTTATAATAACTAAATAACATAAACAATTGTCTGGAATAATTTTATAGATTTGATTTTATTTAAAATAACATAATACATACATTTTCAGTATCAATTTAATATTAAAAAATGTCAAATTAATACCAAACTGTATAAAAAACTTTACTTTACAACTTATTTAGTATATTATTTTAGCTAAACTAGGAAAAAGTTCATATTGATCTACACTTTTGAGAAATTAGCATCTTTTTAGTAAGATCCAGTATAAAATTGGCAAGAATCTTATAAAAAAGATACTCAATAGTATCGAATGAAGATTAGTTTTTTATGTGTAAATCTATCTACAAAGTAAAAAAGTACATTTTAATATCCTTTAATAAATTTTCATATATTTTGAATCAAAAATACATTGTTTTTAAAGTTATTGTTAAGTAGGATAACAATTAAATTACCGTCGGACGAATGTATTTTAAAATTATTTTTTTTTAAATTATTTTTCCTATTGTTTTATTTCCCTTTCTAATTTTCTTTTTATTGGCTCGATAAACTTCCACACGAGGCAAACCCACAAGATATTTAAACATCGCTTGTGAACACGCATTTGTTATTATTAATGTTTCTAGATGAAAGCTTAACGTTGTGAATTTTTCCACGTCATAAAATATGACGTGTTCATTGTTTGCTTACATGCGAAACCATTTTAAATACTTTGATACTATTGATTCGAATAATAATCCCAGGATTAAGGTCGGTCACACATGCAAAAAAGCGCTGGAAAGGGGTTGCATTGTGTATTAGGAGTATACATATATATATTTTTTTTGCAACAATTAACAAATTGTTAATGCAATTCTCCTGCTCTCTCTCCCTTTAATTTTCTTCTGAAGTTGCAGCCAGCGGAGGCAATTCTTCTTTGTACTTCTTCGGCGGAAACGCGGATGGGAAACGAAATTGACGTTCCAACGCCAAAGGGAATGGCGGCAATGGCATAAAAAATAGAAAAACAAAACAACAATCAACAATGTGGAAATGATAATTGCAATTGCCTGCACACCAACAACAATAGCGGACAAAGCAAAAACAAGTGAAGAAAGTTAAAGAGCGAAGAAAAAAAGAAACGGGAATGGCGAATGCATAGAAAGAAGTTTGCAAATAGCAAAGAGAAGAAAAAAGAAACGTAAATACCGCGAAAAATTCAAAGAAACATAAACAAAAAGAAGACGAAAAGCAATTATAGCTCTTGATACAAACGCGATGGTGTTTTACAATATGTAAATATAATTAGCCGAGCGGAGTTTTCATTCCAGGAATTTCGCCAGCCAGCAGGAGAAATAAAAACGACGAAAAAAACACGCTTTAAGAGCCGGTTTTATAATTAATTACTCCCAGCTTTTGCCTCTCTCTCTCTCTCTCTCTCTCTTTCTGACCCCCTCTGCATTTCCTCTATCACTGTCTCTCGCTCGCGCTCAGAGGAGATACCGATAACGATATCGATTACAAATCCAATTCGTACTGAATTGAAGTGACAATACCAATACACAATACCAATTTACCTATTCCAATTCGGAACGTCGCTGCAAAAACTGTGATTAATCCCCGTGCGCGAATTTCGAATCGACTCCGTGATATCCATCCGTGACTGAGTGGTTGTGTGTGCTGAGCTGCCGTTGCAATCGCAATTACGATGGCAGTGTCCTGCCCCGAAGTTATGTACGGTGCCTACTATCCATATCTGTACGGGCGCGCTGGACCAAGTCGATCGTTCTACCAGTATGAGAGGGTGAGTACTTTCTGCAACTTTTAATTACTAATATTTAGGTAATGGGAATAGCTTTCTAGAAAAATAGGAGTTTAAAGAGAGACCATAAAAAAATGGTTTATAATTATGTATGGATACAAAGTCTTCTTATTTTTAAAGTACCTGTTAGCTTAACATCAACATAGTTCGCAGAAAGACCTGTTAAGCATAATGTTAAAGTAAATCGGGTTTATAGACGCTTGTAATTAATCTTAACAGTAACAGGAACAAAAGAGTGCTGACAGGCACTAAAATGTTAAACAGCTGTTATAGTTGTTTCTGTTCTGTTCGAAAAAAGTAAAGGTCAGGTAAACATCTTAAAATCAAATCAGTTTTCCTGTCGCCTGTAATTTATCTAAACGAGAATGAATAACAGAGATCTGTTAAGGAGCGACAAGTACTATAGTCAAAACAGATGTGATGTTGCACTTTCCTTCTTCAGTGTTCTATATAAAATCATCGGTTATTTTTCCGAGTTGAAGAAGACTTGAAGGGGTCCAGATTAGCTCTTACTTTGACTTAATAATAAGGTTAATTTTCTTAACGGGACTTTATCAGTCCAAGTAATGGCAACAGTTGGTCGAAAAACCAGTCGTAAATAGTGAATTTTTGAGTTTTATATGTATTTTTTTTCTAAATAATTATTTTTTATTTAGAGTGAAATAAATGATTTGTCCAAATGCCTGATTTGTATTCAAGAAAATAAGCATATAAATATTTAATTTATATTTAAGGGGAGTGGAATAAATAATATGTTAAGGCTTAGTAAATTCCGAGTAGGTTTCTATCTGACCCAAAATTAGCAAGGATTATGTATTTAACCAAAGATTAAAGCTTGGTTAAGAGGTGTCTTCATAAAAACTGTCACAGCAAAATCAATCAAGTAATAAAAACCAACTCCCAAAAGTTGCGATGTCAAAAATGGTGGCTTAAACATTTTTGGCGAGCTGAATTTTGAGCTTAAGTTGCTGCCAGGGGTTTCGTGGCTAATGCACATAAAAAGGTGTTAAAAATGTCCAAACTTTGCGGGGTCTATACTATATATTTAATTCCAAATTAGTTGTGGAAAATTGTGGCTAACGTTTGGACGTACGACGAATTTTAATGTAGTTTAGTGTTTGTCTTCTTTTAAGTTTAGTCTTTATAAGCAAGAGTAAATCAATGCAAATAAGTATTTCTTAAAAGTCAATATTGTATTTGCTATAACATTATTTTATTAGGAAAACTATAATAGACTCATGAACTATATATAGTTGTCCTTTTTAGTACAAAGTTAAAATTTTTAAATCATATTTAGAAAAAAGACGTATACATATTTCAATTATTCCACAAGATATTTCCTTTCGAAATAAATCAACAAAATAAACAGAAAGCTAAAAAGACAGTACCAATGTGCTTCTTCAGTATTACAGGTTCTATTTGAGCAAGGTAAAATAACTCACGAAACTAAATTCATGTAAAAGAATAAGTAATATTAACAGACATATATCAAGCGTATACATATTATACAAAATTAATTTTTAAATGTATCTCTGCGGACCTTGATTTGTTTCTAGTAGGTTACATAAAAAATTAAATTTAAATGTGAGTTATGCGAGCAAACACACACACAAAGCCACTTGTCAAAGGAAAAGGCACAGGAAGAGGAAGTACTTCTGGGAAGTACCATTGTGGCCATTGCTTATCCTCAGTTTCCATTTCTGTCGGCATCCTACTTTATTGTTTTGATTTCGTCAAAGGAAAAAGCAGCACCGTTGATGAGTCATGCTGGCCAGGACCCTCGCAGTCCTGGCTGATTGATGGCTCTCTTTTCGGTGCTGGCCAAGGCCAAGCCTCCACGCTGCCCCCTCCTCGTCGTCAATTTGTTTTGGGGCCAGCTCGGGACTGGAATAATTAGACGCTTCTAACAAATCATAAGAATTCACGCAGAACGCAAATCGATTTGGGGAACCCGAAACAATAAAGCAGAAGCGGTCTGTTGGACAGACAAAAAAAAGGGAAACATTTCAAGGAATTCCGCGACTCAATATTGGCTTTTGTTTTCGCCTCTCTCCGCCTTTTTGCTAACATTGATTTCGAAGATTTCGCTGTGATTTCTGTGACAAGTACAGAAAAGTTCTCACGATCCGTTCGGTCAGTCTCAGTCCAAGTCCAAGTCCAAGTCAGAGCCTGAGCCTGACCGTGGCCATGGCCAAGTGGCTGCTGGGCCAAAATGAAACTGCCAGCCAGCCAGTTGCCGTTGTCGCTGGGCACAAAGAAATTCTTGTGTCGCAAGTTCCAATTATACAAGGCCGCGGCACCAAATCGAAATTGGCCTTTTATGTAAGTAACCGATACGACACGATTCTGATTCTATGCTTTTGCATGCCCATAAAGAGGGACCGACCGGCCGCGATAAACCTAAGCCCTCCTGTATTGGGTTTCGGTTTCGGCTTTGGCTTCTCCTCCGCCGCAGAGCCAATCGCAGATTGAGTCAGCAGCTTCGGAGCAGCCTCATCCTCATCTTCATCCTCATCCTCAGCTGGCTGACCGGTTTATTTCGGCCCAAAAACGCACAATTTTTGTCCGCCCTTTCGACACTTTGGCCGAAAAAAATAAAAACAAATAAACAAACAAAAACCTTGGGCCCGTTCGGTTAATTTATTGTGTGTATCGCCATTAGTTCTTGCCGATCGGGCTCTGTCCCGCTCTGCTCCCAACGCCATAACATAACCATACCGATTCCGATCCTTGGGGCCTTTTGTCAACCGATCGCAGATAAACCAGGGAGCTGGAACTCCACAGCCTGCTTGGAGCTTGGAGCTGAGAAGTAGAGAAAAAGTCAAGGGTCCCGAAAAGTTGTCGCTGGTTCGTCTGCCGATCCCGGTGATTTATGCCGTGTGATCGGCAGTCTGACTGCTCGGCATAACCGACATATCGCCTGCAGCTAATAACACTGCAGCAGATACAGATACACTGCGGGAAAATCAAGCAATGTTGAGAGCAAAAATTACTTATATACCTATTTTAATAATTTTTAAAAGTTTTTAATTATCCTTTGGCCTTAGGTTTGCTCTTAAAAAGAAAGGTAAATGTCTTGAAAAATATGTCTGTGAGACTTACAAATAAATATTATTTGAATTGTATTACAAAATTGAGACCAATCATCATTATTAGTGAAAAGGTCCTTGAGTAGGGCCCAAATAATTGTACACTGAAACCAAAGATCCTTGTAAAGCCTTGATTTATGTGGATTAAGTAGCTTACTGCACCTCGAGTTAAAAAACACAAATAAAGAATTAACTCAATTCATATCTTAGGAAATACAAATTTTTTGAAGGGTTTTCTTGAGTGGAAAATTAAAAAACATCCTTGAATACAATATGTATTTATTCGAAACATAAAGTTAATAAGATAAGATTAAGATAATATAATATACATATATAGAGGGGAAATAATATGGGTTTGGACACTACTTAAGAACCAAAACAGTATACAAATTATGAATTTAATATAACCAAATATAAATAAATAAAAAAAAGTGGTCATTCATTTGATTTAAAAATTCCTGAATATATAATATAACCACCTATCACAGTTTGAAATACAAAAAGTATTCTTTTCACCTGACAAATTACATCAATATATACAATCCAGTAAGGTAATGATCCCCTATAATTAATACAGCTTCACATCCCATTTAAATGACACAATTTTATTTACTTAAATGTTTTTTTCCGGTGTTCAAATAAAAATGCAGATGCTGTTGCGCATTTTGTATCAGTATCTGGGCATTGTTTCGCCTACGCTACTGCACTTTGGCCACGATCCGCGATCCGCGATGCTCGATTCGCGACTCCCGATTCCCGATCCTCACCACTGTCCCACAGCCTGGGATTCCGGTATTCCGCCTCCAATTTGGGCTGTCGTCGCTGATAGTGTTGGGCGATAAGGCGGAACGCATTGATTATGTGCTTAAGCCCGGTGACAGATGCAGATACATGATCTGTCGCATTTTTGCGGCAAGTGTATCTGATGCTGCTGCTCCTTATCCCTGCGCGGCTGTAGTATCTCAATTTGTTGCTCCGTTGTATCTGAATCTATTTGCAAAGGAGTTTCTGGGCTGACTCAGCGCTTTTATCTAATTAAGTGGCCTGCTAACAAGAGAGGGCCAGCTGTTGTATCTGGCGCTCGTAAATCAGGGCTGCTGTCAATGGATGCACTCCTCCAAATGGTTCGTGCCCGGTTAACCCATTATTAACCCTTGGACGCGATAATAATTGGCATGCGCCTATGAACTGGAGGAGCAGGGGTCGTCTCGCCTCGCCTCGGCTCGCTTCGCTGGCAGTTTACACTTAAATTTAGAATTTAGCTTCTTTTCGGCGGCAAATGTGGCATGGCGGCAGCGATTTCCATGGGGTTATAGTAGGGGCTATCTTCCAGCTACCAGCTACATAGGGAGCCCGCTAATGGGCCTCATTAGGAGGGGACTGCTACGGAAAAGGGGGATGGATCCCAGAGGTGTTGCTCGTAAATCGTCGCCAGCGCCGCATTATGTTTGACACTTCGCTAAGCGGCAGATTGCGGCGTGATTATCGTCTTCGGGTGCTATATATTCTCCAACCAACCCTACAATCTCCACCCGTTTGAAGCGGTGCAACCTTGGCGGAGTAGTCCGTGATAATATGCGCCAAACGGTCGTAAATTTAATGGCCTCCACTCGCATTTTCCATCAACATAAATTCTCGAATTGTGTCGTTTTCAATTTGCTGCAACGCCTCCCATAACTCATTACGCTCCTCTTGGCCGACCTTTCGGGAATCCACTTATGAGTTCACCCCAAATGGGTCGACGGGTTAAGGGTATCTCGGATATCACAAGGTCTGCAAAGCTATAACGCCCTTTATCCAACAAGGAGTCATTTCTTTTACTTTACTTTTACTTGCAGCTTCATAATGTAACAAGTAGGAAAGCTAGAGACGGCTATGACAGACTATTAGAAAAACAAGCACAAACAAGCACGTGCTTGGTGTCGCAAGGTCCTGTTTGTTCACACGGTCCAACAGAGACGTCTAGAATTGTGATGCTGATCAAGAATATAAAGAAAATCCTTGTCCATCTGACTGCTTTTATGCAATTATCCTACCAGGAAGGGTACCTGGTAATTGCATAAAAGCAAACCGATTCCAAGGGTACCAAACAGAATATTCAAAGAAAATTGCAGAAATTAAAAAAATCTTTATGAAATAGACTTAACCTGAAGTTATTGAACTTAAACCCAATGCTAATTACCCCTTCTCTCTCACCTTTCCAGTTCAACCAGGATCTGTACTCGTCCTCGGGCGTCAACTTGGCCGCCTCATCGAGCGCCTCTGGCAGCTCCCATTCGCCCTGCAGTCCCATCCTCCCGGCCTCGGTGAGCGCCAATGCAGCTGCAGCGGCTGTGGCGGCGGCGGCCCACAATAGTGCGGCGGCAGCAGTGGCAGTGGCCGCCAACCAAGCGGGCTCCTCCGGCCTGCAACTGGGAGGTGGCGGCGGCGGCATGGGCGGCATGACCGGCGGTCCGGCAAGCGGACTGCTCGGCACCAATGTGCCCGGCAGCAGCAGTGTGGGCAGTGTCGGCCTGGGGATGAGTCCGGTGCTTAGCGGCACCGCTGGACACTCGCTGCACAGCAGAAGTCATGCCCACGCCCACGCCCATGCCCACTCCCTCGCGCACACGCACCCGCACTCGCACACACACACGCACCCGCATACGCACCAAACCAAAGAAGAGGATCTCATCGTGCCGCGCAGCGAAGCTGAAGGTAAGTGGAGATGGTGGGATCAGAATGGGCGGGATTTGGAAGGGGTACTTTTAAGTTATATTGTATGTAAGAGAGTAATTAGAATGTTCTTTGGGAGTATTTTACAATTTAGCCTTTAAATTGTGGAATCATAAACAGAAGGATAGGAAATAGTCCTTGCAGATTCGTCATTTAGTATGTGCTGCCCTAAAGTGATCATTTTACAACAGAAACGAGACGAAGGCATGCAGAAGTCATTCCGAAGTTTTGCTCAAATCCTGTTAAAGTCATGCCCAAGCCATGCAACACCCATAAAAAATTATGTCCAAGCTTTTGTATCAAAAAACACAATGTTACTTGTATGTGTCTGTTCAACTGCCTTTGTAGATCCTTTATATATTCTAAAAGTTTCTTTTTAATCAAAAATTTGCTCCTATTTTGTATAGTTAGTATCATCTCTAATTATTGAGCCATGAAATCATGTTAAAGTCATGCAAAAGTCATGCAAAAGTCATGCAAAAGTCATGCAAAAGTCATGCAAAAGTCATGCAAAAGTCATGCAAAAGTCATGCAAAAGTCATACTAAAGCCATGCCGTAGGCTACCCAAGTTCCTGTGGGAGAAGACACAACGTCGTATGTATGTACGTGTATGTTAAAAGTATCTTACATTTAACTGCCACTGTATCTGTTCTTTATTTCTCTCTTTAATCAACAACATACTATACTTCTTAAGGTTCTGTCAAAATTACATATATTTGGTATCATCTTTAAATATTAATTTTATCAACAGCTTTAAGTTTCTATAGAGAAGCTACAAGAATTATACATTAAAACCCTGGACATAATAAATACAATTTCTATTGAATCTATTAGTAATCAAAGTCACGATTCTTTTTGAAAAATTAGTAATAAATTATGGCAAAGTAATTCAATGATTCGCTTAATGACAAGTCTAGAAATTGCCATATCAAGTGAGTTTTTAAACCTAAAAACTTAAAAGTGGGATCACAGTTTGATGAGTAAAAAAGGTATAGGTCCTTGATACTAATTAATTATTTGTTAATCGGAGGCATTAATGATATACATTATAAAGAAATATTTGGCTTTGTGGCGTTTCATGTGCGTGCCCTACTTCACTTATATTGTCAATGTCAATGTTTGCGCAACAGTTTTAATTTTTTTAGTTTCCATTTTCTTTTTTTTTTTTGTATTTTGGCAGCCCGATGAAATTCATTCAGAGTGAAAGAGGCAGATGGCCGTCGCACATTTGTAGCTAATTAATTTGCAAATTCTTGAAATAGCTGGCGGGGCGCACGGGCATTCCAAACCAGTTAGCATTCAATAAATTATATCATATTTTATATATGTAAGCAGGCCCAGTCGCACACGCTCACTCGCCTTTCGCTTATTTAATAGTTTTTCCACTCTCTCTCTGCGTTCTCTCGCGGATTTTCCAGCACGCCTGGTGGGCTCCCAGCAGCATCAGCATCACAATGAATCATCCTGCTCCTCCGGTCCGGATTCACCGCGCCACGCCCACTCCCATAGCCATCCGCTGCATGTGGGCAGCGGAGCGGCGGGCGGTCCATCGTCGGCGGGCGGAACGGGATCGGTGGGCGGTGGTGGTGGCGGAGGAGGCGGTGGCGGTAGCGGAGCGGGAGGAGGCGGAACCGGGGCCATTCCCAAGGATCAGCCCAGCCTGGAGCCACCGATGGGCAGTGGCGGCGGTGCAGGAGGCAGCAGTCAAGGACAAGCTCAGTATCTATCGGCCACCTGCGTTGTGTTCTCCAATTACTCAGGTGACACGGCCAGCCAGGTGGACGAGCACTTTTCCCGCGCCCTCAACTACAACAACAAGGATACTAAAGGTAGGTGGTAAATTTAGGATTAAATATGGTTAATATAACGATTTTGAACTGGTTTAGTAGTATACTTTCTTTCTTAGGGAGAAAATCAATGAAAATCTTGTATTTATTCATAACAATTGTTTATTAAGTTAATATAAATAAGAAGGGGATACAGAGGAAACATTTATGATTGAACACCTAGTTATTTTTACGTTCAGTAAACCTGTAAATATTATGCCATATAGCAAACAATGACAAAAGGATGAAATAGTCAAACTAAAAATAGTTGCTGGCTGAAATTAGTATTCATTGGTGTCTTAAATTAGTGAAATATAAGACTGTAATATGTGTTGTTGACTCTTATAAAGAAATGTCAGCTTTAAAAACTTTGACAAGGCATTAAAAAATTAAAAAAAAAAGAACCTATGTCGTAGGAAAAAATTTTCAAAATACATAAACAATGTAGATTAAAAGGAATATTTGTTGTTTATTAAAATGAAAACAATGGAATGCAGAAAATGTGTGTTATAAACATTTTAGATTTTTTATATCTTATTTTACATTTAAAAAACTTTAAACCATTAATACAGTCTCAGATGATAAAAGAACTGACGGCTGCCTCATAAATCAAATATGATCAACGGAGAATTTTTAGTATCTTTAAATATTATGCTTAAATTGCGAATTAACATTTTTTTGCGCATTTCATTCTGCGCTAAGCTAATTAAGAGCTTAAATGTTAAAGACCTCTGCAAAATATTGGCACATAATTATGATTCTTGGAATTCTACAGAGCTAAGTATACATATAAATATATTAATCTTTGTTAATCTTTTGAATATTGTAAAACGAGAAACAATATTCTTTAAAATCACAATTATTCAGCATAATTCAATTAAATAGAATTAAAACCTCTATGAAAATTAAAATGGAATTTTCTTATGAGGAATTACTACTACCAAAACTCTTAAAAAGTGTCAATAGAAACTAGTTTAGACACCTAATGATTCTAGGATCCAAAACAGTTTACAATTTCCCAGTTTTTGATTGATTATAATTATTTTTATCTTGTATTTTTGAGCTCTTAAGTGCATTTTTGTTCTGTGCCAGAGCTGGAGGATAATCAGAGGCCCCATTTCCAGTTATTTGAGGCTCCGCCGAGTTGTGTGATCAAAGACCCGCTCGTGTCATGTACTTGTCCCGGCTGTCAGTTTGCGTGTTTGCCCCGATTTGCGGCGGTGCCCCACTCGCCCCTGCCCCGAAATGGGGGCATAATTAGGTGAAAAATACGCCGGCAGTTCCAGCAAAGTTATTAAAATGTTCTCGGGAAATTTACAACAGGCAAATTATGCCTTCAGGAATGTGTGACTATGTGGGAAAGGAACTATTACTATGGGACGGGGGATGGATCTAATCCGGGAAATGCAGCGCGAAAACTTTCCATCCAAGTGTTGGCTTTTTCATGGTTTTTGGGGCAGCTCAAAACTTGATTGATGACCCTGTATATCTATATATGGAAGTTTATGTCGGTTTTGGGAGTGCATCATGGCCTTGAAAATTGTACAAGTTTTTACCACAAAAGCGATACATATAAGACTCCTTAAGATCCTAGAGGCTAATAATGAAAGAAAAAGTAAGCTAGATAGAAAAGGAAAGCTACAAATTAATTACTAATAAATTGGTTACTTAGTTTACCATTTAAAATCCATTAAAAATGCTCTGCAAATACCATATATTTCTCATAAAACGGAACCCTTTCAATCCATCTTTCCTTGCACAAAACTATTTAAAGTATTTAAATTTCAGTTCCACTCATTGCCAAGCAAATATATACAGATATACTATATGTAGAATCACTTTAAGATGCCACTTTATCCCCTCGCCAAGTTTTTGTGAAATGTCTGTGAATGTGAAACACCAAAACGGGACGACGAACGGGGCGGCTGCAGAATAAAACAAATAAATCAAGTTGCCACTTGCCACTCGCTTGTTCTTTCGATTTCAAAATTAATTACCTCCTTTAATGAAGATAAACGTTTCGTTTGTTCATGCCTGTCTGTTTTGCCTGTCCGTCGTCTATCAGCTGCAAGCTATATCCACTATATACACTCGTTTTATAAAAATACACCATCGCCATCGCCAGCAGCATGTGTGTTTGCCATTTTTTGCGTGTCACTTGGCTTTTGTTTTGTATATTTATTTGTTTATTGCCTTGATATGCAGCAAAGTCAGCCTTGTCAAGTGCCAGCCTTTCATTATGATCATCTCTGTGTTGATTCCAATGGGTCAATAGCCATCAGTAGCTCAATCAATCAATTATCGGTTTCGGTTTCCTTGCATTTGCATGCTGCGCAGGTGTCGGTAGTTTCAGCCTCGTAATGCTAATTTTCCGGACGTGTTTCGAATCTCCATGCCCCCCCCAGTCCTTCTGCGATTGGAGCTCTTTGTGGGCGGGTGTATTTCCTTTTTTTTGCCACACCGTCAAATTGCAGTTAAACCTGGGATTTTATTGAGTTTCTGTGGCTGCCTCGTTTGTCTCGTATTTACCCCCGAAATTCCCGCGTCGCCTCTGCTTTGATGGGAAAATGCCACCACCACTACTGCTTCGGTTGTGCGAACGGTTTCCATTCAATTCCCCATTTTCCCCCCGATTCGTTATGCGATAATTGGAAATTTTCACCACAGCCGCTGGTTTTTAACAGCGAATTTACGTTGATTGGCTTGCCGAAATTGAAATCAAAAAATCCGTTTCCTGGAGAATGACAATTAATAGACCAGAAAGTAAGCAAATATCAGTGGTTTGCAGAGAGAGTGGAGTGGAGAATGGGGGTCTTTAACTAAATTGTTGGAAAATCTATAACTAGGAGAAGTAAGTGATGTTTTGTAGACATTTTTAGATGTTTTGTGTTGCTAAAATGATCAGTATAATAAAAATTTTAAGGGTTTATATATTAATCTTGAAGACCATAACAGCATAAACTGTTTCTGAGCTTCTTGTCCGTAATTTTTATAACCTCTCAGGGTATTATAATTATAACTTTAGTCAGATGTTTTAGAAGAAGGAGGCATTATTTAACTTAAAATATACATTTTCTACTGTATTTTGATATTAAAATATATAACCCATTAAGGTATTTTATAATATTTATAATTAGATACAATTAGGCAGAGTTTTCTCTTAAAATGTATCTTTTAAATGAAGCTGAAGCTTTATCTCTGTACTAATTCAATAGCAATTAACCCAATTATGAATTAAAAATGCCTAAATTTTAAATGAATTTATAAAAATCACCGTATTATAGGAAACTTTGATCTTTGCATGGAAAATTCCTATCTAGAATAGGATGCTCTTGGCATTTGGGAACTTTACAGTCGGCGCTGCACAGTGGCACACATTGCCGCATTTAGAATCTGTCCCTTAAAATACGATTCAAACAAAAGCAAAGATATTTGTTGTATTTTAAATTGTTTACTTTTGCTGCCCGTCGTTTTTCCCTGTTCTTTTTTATGGCTTTTTAATGGTATTTAAAGTTCATTTTGGTCATTTGTCTATTTGAGAGAGCGCACACACATTTGCATTTGTGCGCTTAAAACTATTCAGCATTTATACATATATATATAATTTTTTTCTCGTATTGCAATGCGCTCTGTGCCGTCTATATGTGCTATATATGCCCAGATATATGTATGTATATCGCTAGTTGGAATGTGCTATGAAATGTCGCCGGAATGCGATGCGGTCGAAGCTGATGTTGTTGCCTCAGCAGTTGTTGTCTGACGGTGGCAATGCCGAATGCCGCATAGATTCCTCATTACGATTTTAAAATGCATTTCAATTAACTGCTCCACACACAGGCAAAATGCAAAAAAATACAAAATACAAAAAATGAGTAAAAATAAAAACAAGACCGAAAGAGGGCAGAACCAGCAGCAGCAGGAGATGATGATAATGATGATGATGAAGCGATAGCCACGGCACGCTTGCACTTTCCTCTCTGTTTTTGCGTTAGGTTTCTCGATCGGAGACAAATACGCGATTCATCAGTGGCAGCCCAGCCAGTTTTGCTCTGTTCTGTTCCGTTGCGAAGAGCATTTAATTAGATGCCCGAAGAATTCGATTTAAAATTCCTTGGCACCCGCTGCAGGCAGCCAGGCAGGCAGTCTCAGGCAGGAGAATCGGAAACAGAAACCGAATAAGATATAGAAGCAGATATTTCAGGTACCTTTAACGCAACCATCCGCAGATGCAGATACATATGTGTAAAGTGCACAACGGAAAAATATCAAGTAGTATTTTGTAATATTTAACAAAATAACAGAGCTCGAAAGAGGGGTTTCCGCTTCCTTAAAGCTAGCAAAACGGCCGTTAAACTCATTGCGGCTTTGCTTGTGCATTGCAGGCAAAGCATGTAATCGAAAGAACAGCTCATTTAAGCACTTTTCTTTTACTTCCTTGCTTTAAGTGCTGTTTATGTTGTAGTTCTGCACCAAGTCTGCAATGCACCAGCAAAAAATACCTTAGGAGTTTCATTTTAAGCAAATGGTAAGATGTTTCCAGTGTAGAAAGAGTCCTCATTTTTCAACGCCGGCGATCGTTCCTTATCGGGTCATAAATCGCAACCAGAGCGGGTCACTTCATTAGGGCAAAAGGTGAAAGGTGAGAGGACAGGTAAACTCCGGCCGATGCGGCTTTCGCTTTTGAAGCTGAAGGAAAGCCTGAAAGTGAAATGGTAAACGAGAAGGAGCCGCCGCCGCCGACGACTGAAGAGGAAAATATCTTTGGCAGTCCGCTTGTTTGCACATTAATGGGAATTCCTTGGCCTCAGCTGAGCGAGTGAGTGAATGGCAATGGCAACGGATGATGACTTCTGTTGGCTGCTGCGACAAATAAAAAAGGAGTCGAAGCACGCGGCATGGCATCCCAGTACCCAGTTTACCCGTATCCCAGTATCCACCAGCCTCTCCTCGTCATTATCATCCACAGCCGCGGAGTCGGAGTCATCAGCATGCATGGCACACTCGCCAACGTGCCGGCCAAAGTTGTCGAATCGCGACGGCAGCCAAGCACAAACATTACACATCCCCAGGCCGAGGCAGAGGCACTGGCACAGGCACAGGCACACATCCCCGCCAGAGGCAGAGGCACATCCTCAGCCACATCCTCCAGCTTCAAGCCCGCCAGCCAGCCACCAGTTGTTGTATATTTTTCCCTCGAATTGAGTTTGGAATGTTGTCAACGCAAATGCAAGCCTATGCAAGTTTTTGGTATCTTCCGCCGCTCAATTGCAGTTGCTATTTTTGGTTTTGGGGGACCGGCAGCAGCTTCTCCTCCTCAGGGAGCTCCATTACACATAATGGAGATGTCTTCCTGCTGCTGGCTGCTCTGGCGTTGCGCGATTTCATAAACGCGTAGATTTACAACCATTTAATACAAGTGATGATCCCGAACAACAACGCGACAACGAGCACGAACGACAACCGAAAACATTCCGCTCAGTTATTTGCAACAGGCCATGGCGCCGCCACCGAGCCGGAGTCGGAGTCGGAGACGGAGCCCATGGAGAATCCCTGGCCCAATCCGCGAAACCCAGCCCCAATCCGCGGGCATCTCGGAGATGCTCGAATGCTCGTTTGCCAGTTAATCATTGCGGCAAGTGAATGGAAATTGCCCCTAGAGGCGGCGATGCCTTAACACTTTGTTCCTTCAGGCAATTGCTTCTTTTGAGTTATTTTTTCCTAGAATTTTCAATGCAGAATCTTGATTCAGACGAGAAACTAGTTTGATACAGTGTTTTAGGAAAAGATTTGTGAAAGTTGTTGGGAAAATTAAAAAGTATAAGAAAGTGTCAATGGGAGTTGACTTTTGAAGGATTTTAAAAAGGTCAAGAAAGATAGTGTACTTTGGTGTATAATTTTGAGCTTTTAAGCTATTAATCCAATTATTTTGAAATTATTGGGTCTATGGGAACTATATTTAAATTGTAAAAGATATTAAATCGATAAGTTAGAAGGGTTTTCGTAGAACTAAAAGTAAAGCCTAGTTCTTATGAACTTTTTATGGTATATTATGGTATTTATTGGTATTCATTTTTTAATACTCTTCAGCTCATTTTATTTTTTTTTTAACAAACAATCCACATGTCCCTAAATGTAATGTCAAATCTCTTAAATTAGCAAGGTAAGCGACTTTTCATGGAATTAAAAGTATGATATTTTTAAAATATCTGGAATTCTCATTGTATTAAGTAGTATTTAAACAGTTTTATATGGTATTTGGAAGGTACTATGGTATTTATAATGTATTGTCTGATTTTTTAAAGTAAATTTTAAATAATTTATAAAAGGTCTTAAGAAGTTTTCAAATATCTAGAGTTATGGATTTATTATTATTCTATTACAATTTACATTACAAATTTATTTACAATGATATTAAAAATAGGCAAGACTCACATACTTAAGAGATCTTAAAGATCACTATTGTTTAAATCAAGTTAAAGCGTTCTGAACTATTTTAAGAACCACTCGAGATGTTTGCACTCTCCCACGTTTGATAGTCCTTACCATTCCTGGTGAATTTTAGCACGATTAAACAATAATCTCCGAGTACTGGTATTATTCGATGTAGCCTGACAACCCGATTCTCCCATTTTGTATGCTTGCAGAGAGCAACAGCCCGATGTCGAGCCGCAATTTCCCACCGTCGTTCTGGAACAGCAATTACGTGCACCCCATACCCGCGCCCACACATCCCCAGGTGAGTCCATGGCCGTCCCATAACCCATAACAATGCCGGTAGCCAGTAGCGATTACCTGCAATACGTGAGGCAATTACTACTTCAAGGAGCCTCCGCTTGGGCTGCTCCTTCTTCCCAGTCCTGCTTTAAATAAGTTGTAATCCGATCGGATATCATCTGCAGGTTAGCGACTTGTATGGCTCGGCGACGGACACCGGTTACGCCACCGATCCGTGGGTGCCGCATGCAGCGGCGGCTCACTATGGTTCCTATGCCCATGCGGCGCACGCGCACGCAGCCCACGCCCACGCCTACCACCACAACATGGCCCAGTACGGGAGCCTGCTCCGGCTGCCCCAGCAGTATGCCAGCCATGCCAGCACCAGGTGAGTCATCCCTTGCCTTAAACACTGTCCAGACTGGGTCTCAACCTTGCCGGGGGGTTCCTTTCCTTGCAGGCTGCACCACGACCAGCAGACGGCCCATGCCCTGGAGTACTCCAGTTATCCCACAATGGCGGGTAAGTTGTTTTTAGAAATGCTTTTCAATATTCCTAGAGAGTGTTTAGATGTAAATTTCCTTCTTATAATTCGTTTACCTTCCCTTTCAGGCCTCGAGGCTCAGGTGCAGGAGTCGTCAAAGGATCTTTATTGGTTTTAAGCATCACGGAGATATGGTGGCACAGGCCCAGGGTAACCCCCCCAGCAAAATGTATAAACTCTGGACTCGGGAGAGATGCCCAGTCGAGGGGATGCTCGGCCTCCAATGAAATCGCTTCTTAAGCAAAACTGCAGTCTGTGTTTTTCTGTGTGAGCAAAACAATAACAAACGCAAAGGATTTTGAAATTTAATTTAATTTACCATAATGTTTAACGTTTACAAATATAAATATATATATATATATAAATAATTCTTAAGCTTAACGCACAACTTGTAAACATTAACAAACGATTTTTCGCGCATCCGAGACCACGTTTTTTTCTGGCGTCATTTGTTTTTGTAAGTTTAGCATCCCATATCAGCAATTTAGACACATACAATAATGCATATATACACTATACACTATATATAAATATACACCTAAATATATATACTTATATATATATTCGTAATCAGCGTTGGTAACGTTTAATAATCCACATTTCTTGTATAGTTAACGCAAAAACTTTGAAATACACACACAACACACAACAAAGTTAGAATTTATTTTGTTTAAAACTTCGATTTTTGCAAATTTCAACAAAATCTAGGATAACGAGAGAATCAAATTGAAAAAAGCCAAGCAGAAAAAGCCCACAAAAAAATGATGAATAAATAAAACGGAAAAGAATTTGAATACAATCAAATACAAAATCAATGTGTGTGTGTGTTTCTTTTAAGAGCGAAAAGGGGATACAATCAAAGGTAAGATATGCATAATTAGTTTCATTTTAATGATTTCATTCCCCCGATTAACCCCTGGAACAAACAGACAATCAGATAAGCCCTCAAAATTTCATAATCGTTGACTTTTGAATGCTTTCCACGCCATTTAGCCAGGCGCCTTATTAATCTCGGGCTATTTATCATCCCGAAAAGAGAACCCAGCGCGACCCGAAGGGATCCTCTTGCATAATTAATGAAAGCACAAATCTCAGATAGTAGCCAAGTGGTGGCACAAGTCATAAATAAGACGCCAAAATCTCCTGCTACTTCTTCTTGACTGGGAACTGGCAACTGGGAACTGGGCAACTGGAAATGGTGACCGGGAAACCGGATGAACTCGTATTCCTCTCAGTGCCTCTTTGCTATTATTGAATGAAAGTAGGAAGAGGAGTTGGACCACATATAACATTGACTTTCAATGACTTATCGCACAGTTGGCAGAACGCACCTTCACCGGACTTGGCCGGACCGTGAACAGTTGGTCTCCTCCGCTCCCGATCCTGCTCATGAATTAAAGAAATAAAACAAACGCGCGACATGCTCCCGATCCCGATCCCGCTCCCGCTCCCGTGCTCATGCTCTGTTTTTGTCCACTGCTCGGTTCCACGTCGTTGTAGGCAACAAATTTATTACTGATCGATGAGCCAGGAACCACTAACCGGGGCCGGTTGCGGGTCCATTATTTTAGCATAAGAATTCCATAATTCCGGGGACGGGGAGACGAGCTGCCGCTCCACAAGGTGTTCAACAATTCGCCAAATGCGTTTTGCTCTGGGTTTATCGCTTTTTAATAACTTCCCTGCGCAACTCTTTCAATTCACCTCTTTCTTTTTTGCAGGTTGGCCCTTCTTTGTTTTTTTTGTGCGGCGGGTTGTCACTCAAGTGCTGGGACAGATGGTTCCGTTTTTGGCGGCTCAACTTCCTTCCTTTCCGAACTTTCGATCTGGCCAGCTTGTTGTTGGTTGTTTATTGCCGCATTGTGTGGTAATGAGTGTCTTGAGTTTAGTCGAGCATGCAGACGATTCAACGGCCAAGTTTCACTTTATATAGTGCCATTTTGTGGATAGCTGATGGGTTAAAATAGTATTCTAACTACTCAAAAGTTGAAATTTCTAACTGAAAAATTAGTTGAAGTTCATAAAAGTCTTAGATTTTACAGTGTAAGTTCGACGTGATAAGCCTATATTTAATTGTAATAATAAAAGTCATATTCGAGAGTATTCTATTTATTAAAATATAATACGATAACTAAAAAAGTGATAGTGAGTGCTCAGGTAAACAAAATGTTTCTTAAACTGTTTTGCAAATTCTTATGTAAATTACCCGATTTCTTCTATAGCTTTTATATGATTTAGTCGTCAGATTTTAAGAAAATTAATCCTAATCTTAATAGTAAAATATAAATATAGATGAGAGACTAGTTTGCCCAGAAACGGTCACAGGAACTAGATCAACTCGGCTGTTGATGCATTATAAATGCATTTGTATATTAGCAATTTATGTAATTTATACAATCTTATAAAAATATCCTTGGGGTTTTGGCTGTTGAGCTATAAAAGTGTTAATTAACTTTTATTATTTGTTTCTCTTCTGTGAGAGATGGTCTAATAGTTTTGTTTAAAATAAAACTCTCAGAGATTGGTTTACCTAGTTATTATGTTTTATTTTTTATGTACATAAACTAGGGTGAAATGGGCAATATAATTCCCTATTTTAAAAGGAAGCAACTTAATAATGGCACTTTCAGTTTACACATTAAAAAAATCCCTACGGATATTATTTCCCAGACCTTTTATAGTTAACGTTTGTAACGTTTCAAAGGTAAACACTTCTCCTCTGTTATTGCTGTGAGGGGGGAGGGTCCTGAATCCTTATTGGATCATTAACTGTATTGCTATACAATTTCAGACTCACTCTGACTCACTCCCCCTACCACAATAAGATGTCTGCATCTGCCACTTATGGAGAATTCATATCCGATTGAATAGAAATTAATTATTCTAAAATACAGTGGACTAATGTAAACTACAAACGAAAATTTTATTCTTAAAATTTTTAGTTACATTTTTGAATAATTATTTAGCAAAAGATTACATACTGAAATTATGCACCTCGGAAAAAGTTCGATATAAACCTTGCGTATTATTCCAAATCTATCGCCTCTATTCTAGTTTTTAAACGAAATATTTAAGGATCTTGAGCGTTTAAAAGAAACTACCAGATTTTCTTAAGTTTAACAATTGTTTATAATTTATGTAAGAAATTATTTATTTATTTATCTGAAGCTAACAAATAGTTCTAAACTAAGAGCTAACTAGGGGTAAAGAGCCATAGCAGCTAAGGCCTTCGGCTTGATGTATAAAATTAAAAATAAAATTAATTTTTTAGAAATTTGATAAAATAAAGCCAATTTCAAAATTTCCAAAAGCTTAACTTAACAATATATTTAAAGAATTTATAATTCGAATAGGATACTCTATTTGGACAGCTCCGTCATATCTCTCGTCTGACCTCTCATCCACACAAGAATCCCGATCTCCCCCAGGTTATAGGACCAAGTGTCAACAAGCCCGTTGGCCACATTAAATGGAAATTAATTTCACCCCAGATAAACAAGAATCGAAGCGAAGGAGGGCTCTACACATTTTCCAAATCGGTTTCGGTTAAATTATGTTAACAAAGGGCGACGAAGAGCCAAAGTTGGATAATAAATAAGATGGGAAAACAATAATAAAAGAGCGGCACGTGGATATTTTTGGTGCTCCACCACCAGGTGGAGGAGGGGAGAACTCTCGGCGACACTTTATGACCAGCGAATGTGCGTGACTGGCCGCAAAATATAAATAAATACATTTTCCCAGCGCCTTTGGGGAGAAGATCTCTCCGGCAACCAGCCTCTGGCACCTCTGACACGGGGAGGATGGATGGATGAGTGGATCCCCGGATGGCTGGATGGATGGAGGAGCCGTTACGTCACGTACGCCGACAGCCCGAGTGCAGCTCGTAAATTTGACCAAACCGTATTGGCTGCTAATTGCTGACTAGGATGGGGTCTTCACACATCTACAAGAAATACTAGAGAATAGGATTTCTTTATCGAATATTTAGATTTTAAGACAAGAACTTGGCATAGTTTTGTCTTAAATACACATTGAAACCAGTTTAGAACTAGTCATGAATGCTGCTTGGTGAAATAAAAAAAAATAAAATAAAAGGTACATAAAGATTACATTTTATCGGATACAAACATTAAGGATACAGTGATACTCATTCAATTTCAATAAAGCCCTAATTTAATTTTTTAGAATAATTTTTTTTTTAAGATTAAGGTGAAGTCTTTCCAATACTTAAAGGACGAGGCAGTACAGGATTATTAATTAAATTAATAGCCAAAGGCTTGCTCTACACTTCAATGCTAGAGTAATATCCCAAACAGAGGCAGAATATCCCTTATCTCTACGTGTGAATTAGTTTGGGTTGAATGAGAACCATGAACCAGGTGAAGGATATCAAGTTAGTGTCATACGAATACCTGGAGTCCGCATAAGAAATAATTAAGAAGCTAAAAGAGTTTGGTATTCAGGTAATGCTTTTTCTGGTACAGGCGAAAAGAACCTTCCTCTCCGCTGTTTCACTATGTTCATATTTAGCTACAACAATAATAAAATAATAATAATTAAAAAACTGAATAAAAAGCTTTTTATTTATGTTGATACTCCACCCCCCTCCCTGACCTCAAGGCTCAACAACATATACATAAATAATTAAAAAAAGTACATTAAAATAAATAAATTTTATATTTGCCCCTGAAAAGTTCAGGCTAAAATGAACGAGAGTATTAAGACAATGTTCCATAAAGTATTTTTTTAGCTTTTGATTCTTTTCACTCAATCGAAAATATTTTTAATATGGAACGATAATTTATCAAAATATCTAAAAAATTCCTCTTTGTTTTAATGTAAGCATAAATAATACCTCCTAAGGCCAGTTTTTGTTCTCCCTGAGTAAAATTCGCGGTCAGATAAGGTCTCGTCTTACAGTATAAAAACTTAACAGGAACCCAGGCTCGCTGTCAAATCCTTTTCGGCTCGTGAAAAGTCTGATGAATTTTATCGGTCGACCTAAACTAAACTTAACCTTTAACGGTCGTGTAAAGATTTTTTTTATTTCTAACTGATTAGATTGAGTGCTTTACAGCATGAATCGACATTTGTCAGCAATGTTAACAAGACGTACCTTCACGGTTAGAATAGTTTTAAAAGTGTTTATGGTTATCTGGTGAGTGTCTTTATCTTGACAGTGAGGATAGAAACAAGCCCTTATAAAGTC